GATCCGAGGGCTGTGCTTTCTCACCCTGGGGCCCTGCCGCAGCGTCCGCCGGACAGACACCTGCCTTTGTTCTGGGCATTTGGGGCTGGGGTGGGCAGGGCACAGGCCAGAGTGCCAGACTCGGGGTCGGGGCAGGGTTTTCCTTCCAGCAGCCCCATGGGGAGGCCCCGGAGTCTGCATTTCACAGGTGGGGAAATTGAGGCCCATGGTCACACCAGGAGGAGTTCCCACGTGTGCTGGTGGCTGGAAGGAGGCTCCCCAAAGTCTGAGGGCTTGGCCCCAAGCCACCCGAAGACTCCAGCGTGTGAGAGCCGCCAGTCCTGCCTTATAAGCCCAAAGACCGGGTGGCCAGCTCGGGGACCGGGCCGGGCCTTGTAGGGAGACGGCCTGGCTGCCAAGCACTCGCCCCGGACAGCCTCCCGGCGGGGCTAAATTTAGCGGTTCTGTGCAGCGTGGAGGCTCGAGGCCGGCTGGGGCCTCAAGGGAGGGGACACCGCTTCCAACAGGGGCTCCTTAGCCACTCGGGGTCCCGAGGATGCCCAGACGCTGCCTCAGTCCAACCCTGACACCGTCTGGGCTGAGATTCCTGTAATGCCATGCCGCCCCTGAGACACTGGCTGCAGCAGGGCTCTGGGCCAGCCGGGCAGAGCCTGCCACGGGGAGGCTGGGGGAGGGCCGGCAGCTGTGGGGAGGCCTGGGGTGCAGCAGTGGCCCCGGGTTTGGCTTCTCCCATTGCCTGGACCTCTGCTGCTTCACAGGCCTCTCCTACCCCGCCCTCCGGGCTGTGACCCGGCTGAGGCCCTCCCCACTCCCCCCGTGTGTTTAAAGTGTATCGCCCCCTGGTCCTTCTCCATCCGGCTCATCCCTCTGCCCCACTTCCCTTCATCCCCAGCCTCCCTCCACCCTGGATTAAGAGAACTCCCGGGAGGCCAGGGATGGCGGCTCACACCTGTCATCTCAGCATTTTGGGAGGCTGAGGCAGAGGATTGCTTGAGCCCAGGAGTTTGAGAACACCCTGGGCAACATGGTGAAATCCCATCTCTACAAAAAATACAGAAAAAAAAAATTGGCTGATCACAGTGGTGCATGCCTAAAGTCCCAGCAATTTGGGAGGCTGAGGTGGGCGGACCACTTGAGGTCAGGAGTTGGAGACCAGCCTGGTCAACACGGTGTAACCCTGTCTCTACTACAGATACAAAAATTAGCTGGGCCTGGTGGCAGGCGCCTGTAATCCCAGCTACTGGGGAGGCTAAGGCAGGAGAATCGCTTGAGCCTGTGACAGGGAGATTGTGGTGAGCCGAGATCGCGCCACTGCACTCCAGCCTGGGGGATAGAGTGAAACTCAGCCTCAAAAAACAAAAGGAAAACAGAAAAAAACTTATCTGGGCATGGTGGTGCATACCCATAGCCCCAGCTACTTGGGAGGCTGAGGTGGGAGGATCTCCTGAGCCTGGGAGGCTGCAGCAAGGCGTGATCACGCCACTGCACTCCAGCCCGGGTGACACAGCGACACCCGGTCTCAAAACAAATTAATTTATTAAATAAAAATAAAGAGGACTCCTGGGGGCTGGGCTAGACTCTGTCCCTCAAGCACTGAGTGCGGAGCCCTCACGAGGGAGACCCCTCTCCCTGTCAGCTCCTGAAGCTGCGGCCACCTCCACACCAGCATGGTGGCCACATTCACCTCCTCTCTGGCACTTACATCTTTTTTATTTTTCTTTTATTTTCTTCTCCTTTTTTTTCTTGTGAGACGGCGTGAAACTTGTCCAGCCCAGGCTGGAGTGCAGTGGCGTGATCGCGGCTCACTGCAACCTCCACCTCCCGATACAAGCGATTTTCCTGCCTCAGCCTCCGGAGTAGCTGGGACTGCAGGCACCCACCACCACACCTGGCTAATTTTTGTATTTGTGGTAGAGATGGGGTTTCACCATGTTGGCCAGGCTGGTCTCGAACTCCTGACCTCATAATCCGCCCACCTCGGCCTCCCAAAGTGCTGGGTATCAGGTGTGAGCCACCGCACCCGGACTTTTTATGTGTTTTTAGTAGAGATGGGGTTTCACCATGCTGGCCAGGGTGGTCTTCTACTCCTGACCTGAAGTGATCCACCTGCCTTGGCCTTTCAAAGTTCTGGGATTACAGGAGTGAGCCACTACACCCAGCCTTTTTATTCTTTAAATCCAACTGTCTGGAGTGTAATTCACATACAATAAACTGCACCCATTTTAGGCACATGATGTGATGAGCTTTGACAAATGCGTGCGCACACTCCAAATCCATCAGCCTAGATCGCCCCGCCTGCCCCTTTGTGGTCCACCTTCCCCAGCCTGCCCCAGGCCTCCTCCAGAAGGTCAGTCAGGTGGAATGACGCAGGAGGAGCTCCGCTCGGGGGCTGGCTGCCTCTGCTCATTGCCGCTGAAGGTGTGGGCTCCGCGTTCCGGTTGTGTGCCTCGATGATGTGCCCCTTTTGGTTGTGTGGACGCACCACAGCTCGCTTACCCCTCACCTGTTCATGGACATTTGGGGCCTGTGCTGGTAAACCGCTGTGGACACTCGGGGACAGGCCTCCGTGTGTGTGTCTGGCTTCCTTCTCCTCCTGCTCTGACTTTGTGCCTCTGTTTCTCCAAACGAAGCCCCGTTGTGGTCCCTGCCGCCACTGTGAGGCCTGGAGCACGGGGTGTGGGGCTCGAAGACTCCTGGTCTCCAGAGGGGCGGGGTCCCGTGAGCGTGTGGTAGTTGCCAGTTAGAAGTGTGCCAGGGCTTGCCCCGGAATTCCCTCCTGGGCGCGCAGCTGTGAGGTAAGGAGACCTCTGTTTACCTTGGCCGCCCCGTCCTGGCCTGTTGACTCCATGCTGCGTGCTGCACAGAGCTGGACTCGGGCCGGCCGGGATGGGGTGGAGGCAGCAGGCTGGGAAGCCTGGAGCCGACTGCCTCGTACACAGGACCCCCAGCCCATCTCAGACCCACGCCTTGCCTGGGCACCATGGTGCAAGCTAGATGCTCAGATCGGCAGAGAGCCTTGGGCAAGGCACGGCTCAGCCATCCTGCTCGTCTTCCGTAAATGGAGTCCTAGCCCTTGCCTGGCCCATCTCCCGGGGCTGGCTGAAGACATGAGGAGATGAAGTGTGTGGAAGGTTCTGTGGTGTGAGGGGTCTTCCAGGCCGACTGCTGGCTCCTGCTGTGAGCTACGGGCCAACCCCCGGCCCCCAACAGAGGAACCGGGGAGCTCCTGGGTAGCAGGGTGAGGGCGGGGACTGCCTCCTTGTCACGGAGAATCTAAAAGCCTCCATGCTTGGGCTATTTCCCCTCATCCCAGCCTCTCTCTGGCCTGGATTGAGGACTCCTGAGGTCTGGGCTTGGCCCTGCCCCTCAAGCACTCCTCCCCGGATGCTGAGGATGCTGACACCCACAACGCCCACGTGCCAGCACGTGCCCACCCACCGCTTCTGCAGCTGCCACCTCTTTTTTTCCTTCTAAGTCAAGCTGTACTGCAGTGTAATTCACAAACAATAAAATGCACCCATTTTAGACACACGGTTTGGCGAATTTCAATGGCTTTTTTTTTTTTTTTGAGATGGAGTCTCCCTCTGTCGCCCAGGCTGTGGCACGATCTCAGCTCACTGCCACCTCTGCCTCTCAGGTTCAGGTGATTCTCCTGCCTCAGCCTCCCAAGTAGCTGGGACTACAGGTGCACATCGCCACCATGCGAGGCTAACTTTTGTATTTTTAGTATAGGCGGGGTTTCACCATGTTGGCCAGGCTGGTCTCAAACTCCTGACCACAAGCCATCCACCCGCCTTGGCCTCCCAAAGTGCTGGGATTACAGGCGTGAGCCACTGTGTCCGGCCATAATGTTGACTGTTCTGCTGTTTTTGTAATTCTTGTCATTTTTGAGCAAAGGGCTCCAGGTTTTCATTTTGCAACGGGCCCTGCAAATGATGTAGACAATCCTGCCTGTGGCCCCGGGGGCAGGGCCTGAGTCTCCTTCCCGGGGCAGCTGAGTGGAGGATTAGATCCCAAGGCTTCATGATGCATTTGGATGAAATGAGGGCCGTGGTGACTTCCTTCCCAGAGCCCAGCTTCCAGGAAGGTAGGGCCGCCAGAGCGAGTCGGCTCACCCCAAGCAGCCTCGCAGAGGCCCGGGGGGCGCTGTGGGCTGAGGGAAGCCTGGGGAGGTGGCAGGTGCCGGGTGCATTTGAGCTGGGCTTGGAAGGGCCAGAAGTGGATGCGATCCTGGGGTTCGCGGAGGGAGGGAAACAGAGCAGGAGACTTGTGGGACGGGCAGAAGAGCTAGGGCTGAGGCTCCTCTGTGCGACACGAGGGGCCCCCGAGGCTCAGGCTCCAGGCCCAGCCCTGCCCCAGGCCCAACCAGGGAACACCCCCAGCCTCAGTTTCCTCCGTGGTGACATGTGGATCATAAAATGCATAAAAGGGGCTGGGCATGGTGGCTCATGCCTGTAATCCTGGCACTTTGGGATGCCACGGTGGGCGGATACCTTGAGGTCAGGAGTTCCAGACCAGCCTAGCCAGCGTGACGAAACCCCATCTCTACTAAAAATACAAAAAATTAGCCGGCTGTGGTGGCACGTGCCTTCCTGGCAACTCTGGAGTCGAGGCAGCTACTCGGGAGGCGGAGGTTGCAGTGAAACGAGATTGCACCACTGCACTCCAGCCTGGGTGACAGAGCAAGACTCTGTCTCAAATAAATAAATAACGTAAAATAAAATAAAAGGCCTTTGAACTCTTGCACAAATTGCCAACTCCGTTCCCTGAGAATCAAGCCTCCTGAAGCCAGGAGGGTCTACAGTCATTGCACCTGCCACTCGAGTGTGGCTCTCAGAGTCTTGTCTTGGAGGCCAGAGAACAGTCCTGGTGACATGTGAACCCCAGCCCTTCGCTCAGCGTTTCCTGGAGTGGGTGTGGGCAGGGGGTAGGGCCCCAGGTAGACGCCGCGTAGGTGGTGCAGGTGGGAATACTCCCCAGGAAACAGACGTTGAGGGTCCTCCATCGCCCCAGACACACAACCTTTATTTCTCTACCAAACAGCACGTCAGCAGGTGGGTACAGGGCCCTGTTCCTGCTAGCACCTCCTCACCTCCCCCCAGGAAAGGAGCAGAGACTCTCTGCAGGCACCAGACGCCCTGCCTCCCCCACTGCGTTTCTCTCACTGGCCCCCCAGAACCTGTGAGAGAGAGGAGGGGGGAGGCGTGGGAAGGGGGGCTACAGAACACGGAGCCCATTGGTCTGCAAGGCAGGCTGAGCAGCTCTGGGGACTAGGAAAGGGTTGTGAGTCTTGATTTACACACAAAATCATCACTTTGCACTGTCTCTAGGACAGGCGAGGCTCAGGGCAGTGCCTGACACTGTTTCCTGCCGCACCTAGCGAGTTTTTGCCTAAGTAGCAAAAGCCGACTTAAGAGAAAAATTCTGCCCATCAAATGGCACCTTCCTGTGATCTGACCTGATGCAATACACCAGGAGGGAGGGGGGGAGGGAGAGCAAGTGCCCGTGGGGAATTAGCCAACCTTAGTGATATCTTTCGGCTCAGGGCTGTCGTGGGCAGAGGGCAAGGAGTGAGGCCAAGAGTCCAGGAGAGCCCACCAGGCTCGGAGGCCCCAGCTGTGCAGACGGTGGGCTGGGTGGAAGGGCACCTCGGTCAGGGACCTGAGGCTGTCTGGGGTCTCAGGTGCCAGGGGCGTGGGTGCGGAGTTTGACCTCTGCGCGGTACAGTGGGCGACAGCGAGACGCCAAAAGTCTTATGTGCTCAGGACAGGGAACCCTGAGTCCAGGAAGCGAGGGGGGCTGAGACAGTCCTTCCAGGCTGCCTCCCAGGAACAGCATCTTTGCTCCGCCCCCATCCCGGGTCCTTGTGTCTCTGCTGACCCTTCACCCCCCGGTCCCTGCACACATAAACAGAAACAGCCTCAAGCTCTCAGGAGCCGACTTTGTGGAAGCAAAGCAGAGTGGTGGGGACTGCCCACCCTCGCTGTGCACAGCTGGGCCCAGATGGCCCCTCCTGATGCCCCATGGCTGACCCGGCCCCAGACCAGGCGCAAGGGAGAGGTCAGAGCAGGAAGAAGGACCCCCAGGAGTCCTCATCAGTGCAGAGGCACCAGTCACCAAGTGAACGTCCAGCTGCTAAGTGAGGGGGAGCAAGCTCCAGACGGGCTTGTGATTTGGGGGTGGAGGGGCCCTGGATCTCTGGGTCTGCTGCCAGCTCCGGCTTCCTGGCTGCCCCCGCCTCCAGCCTGCAGCTCCTGGGCTACAGCATCAGAGCAGGGAACTTCCCAGGAGAGTCCAAGGGACAGGAATTACAGAGCCCGCAGGCCAGAAGGAAGTGGGGACGGAGACCCCAGGACGGGGCTGGAGATGACCGTTCTGGCATCAGGCCTGTGGTTTATCCGGTGGGGCCCAGTGGGCAAGTGGGTGAGCGTGGTGGCAGGGGTGGGGGCGGAGGCCAATGCTTGGGCACCATCAGTCTGTGATGCACCCCGAAGACTCCACTCTGTTCCCAGCACTCACTTCTGGTTCTTTTCTTCTGGAAGAAAAACCCAAGAGCGTGTTAAAATGTATGCGTGCTGGGTGCAGTGGCTCACACCTGTAATCCCAGCACTTTGGGAGGCTGAGGCGGGCGGATCACCAGATCAGGATTTCGAGACCAGCCTGGCCAAGATGATGAAACCCCATCTCTACTAAAAATACAAAAGTTAGCCAGGCATGGTGGTGTGAGCCTATAATCCCAGCTACTTGGAGGCTGAGGCAGGAGAATCACTTGAACCCGGGAGGCAGATGTTGCAGTGAGCTGAGATTGCACCACTGCACTGCAGCCTGGGCGACAGAGCGAGACTCCATTTCAAAAAAAAAAAAAAAAGATGTATATGTGAGGGCACACATCCAGGCGGGTTCCTTCCGGCCCCTCCCAGCCCCTTCCATCCTCCACCTCTCCAGAACAGCCCCAGGCTCCCATGGCCTCCGTCACTCCAGACCCCCTGAGCTGCCGCCAGGATCCTGCTCTGCAGGACACATTCCCCCAACTCCTTCACTCCAATGCTCCATGAACACCTCCAAACCCCCAGTACGTACTCTCCTGGTTTTAAGTCTGGGGAACCGCCACCCGTCATTGCAAGGTTCAGAACCAGGGTCGTCCTTGCTTCTCTTGGCCAGCTGTCACACCCAGGCCTGATTCACCCAAAATGCGCCAGCTAACCTCTTTCGCTGCTGCCCCCCACCAGGCCTCAAGGCCTCCCGCCCTGGCCCCAGCCCCAGTCTTACCATCCCATCATCCCTCTGCACCTAACATCAAGCCAAAGCTGAAATCCAGTCCCAACACCCCATTTCACGGCTTCTCACTGTCCTCAGGGAAAAGTCTAAGCCAGCTTGTCACGGGGACCTCCCAGATCTCCAACCCCCCCCCTGCAGACCAGCCCCCGGCCTCCCCTGAGAGCTGCTCAGCCACACCTGGGCAGAGCTAGGAGGTGTGCCAGGAGAACCTCGCCCAGCCCCCAGGGCTGACCCAGGAGCCACGACTCTCCCCAGGACACATCCCTTGTAAAGGACATAAATCACGGGGCAGCCACAAGCATCAGGCTTCAGAAAAACTTCCCTAAAAGGCCACCCAGCTGGCTTGGGAGCGCCAAGGGTCCCTCTCTCACCCCCGCCCCGCCTGGCTTTAGGAGGCCCCAGGGACCGCAGCCGCGCTGGGCAGGGCTGGCTGGGCTTCCAGTGAGCACATTCCTCGGGGTGTCTCCACCCCACCTCTCAGATGGAGCCGCAGGTACCCAGCCTGTGTCTGTCCTCCAGGATCCAGGCCCCACCTTTCCAAGCCGAACTTCTCAGGTACCACGGTCAGCCTCTCGGGGAGGCGGAGGTGGGGGTGCTGCCTGGGACAGCTCCCAGGGCCAGAGCTCTGCCTCCTCCCCAGAACCGATAATGCCACTCGCCCACCTCCTGCTGTTAGTCTCACCCCCTCTTTTCTTTTCTTTTTTTTTTTTTTTTTTTTTTTTTTTTTTTTTTTTTTTTTTTTTTTTTTTTTGAGATGGAGTCTTGCCCAGTTTGGAGTGCACTGCAGCCTCCATCTCCCGGGTTCAAGGGATTCTCCTGCCTCAGCCTCCTGAGTAGCTGGGACTACAAGCATGTGCCACCACACTCGGCTAATTTTTGTATTTTTAGTAGAGACGGGGTTTCATCAGGTTGGCCAGGCTGGTCTGGAGCTCCCGACCTCAGGTGATCCGCCCACCTCGGCCTCCCAAAGTGCTGGGATGACAGGGGTGAGCCACCGCGCCCGGTGTCTGTCAGTCTCACCCCCTCTTGCCTACCCTTCATGGATGACACAGTCCCCCCCATGCTTACATCCCTTCGGTGCTCCCTCACTTCCCTGAGGACAGTGTCCAGGGTCTCTACCCTGGCACTCAAGGCCCTTGCCACCCCCTGGGCCTCACCCCGCTGCCCTGCACTCTTTGCCACCCCCTGGGCCTCACCCCGCTGCCCTGCACTCTGAATGCATCTGTGCTTACTCAATCCTGTTCCACCAGGTTCATACCCGTTCTTTCCAAAGGCTGCTTTAACCTCAAAGCCTGGAGAAACTCCCCCTACCTCCTGGCCCAGCAGGAATCTCTCTCTCCCAGCCCTCCTGGACTGTCCCACCCAGCCAGGGCCCTCCCCCTCTTCAGGCCCAGGAATCCTCCAGCATCCAGCAGCCGATGCACAAAGGAAGGCATCTGAGACGCAGGCTTTCCCCCGCTGGCTGAGACCTTTCAGCTATGGGCAGAATTTTCTCACTTGTACGTTTTCTCAGGAAAACCTGCCAAGCTCCTAGGTAGTTGTGGCCATCTGGGAAATCTCCCGAGGAAGACAAAGGAGCCACCGGAGCTGCCACGTCCCCAGGACACCCCGCTTTGCAGGTGAGTGCGTGTGGCCAAGAACGGCTGGAGGATTTCCTGGCAGACCTTCCGGGCGCTCCGGCCAGTGGCCAGCGCTGGGAGGCCTCAGGTCCCCCTGGATGGGCGTTTCCAGGGTCAGGTCTGCTCCCTTCTCCACATCTCCCAAGGGTGCCACAGAACACTGGCCAGAAAGAACCAGGCAAGAGGCAGAATGGCCTGGCTCAGCCCCCGCCACCCGTGAGCTCCAATAGGCTGAGTGCCCACCTGCACCCTCGAGTGAGCCCCGCCAGGACTCTGGCCACTCACAGGACAGGCCAGCTCCCTTGCTCAGCCCCTAGGGAATGATGGATGTGTGATCTATTTATAGCCCCCCACTCCCTCCCCTGGGGCACATTTCTGCCAGAGGTGGTCCTTAACGACCCAGCTGACCCCACAAAGGCCTCAGCCACTGCCAGCCCAAGCTAGGCCCCTGCACCGCAGTCCAGCCACACGGCCACTGGCTCTGTGCACGTGCCCAGGAACGGGAGCTCACCCCGGCTTCCGCCCTCCCTAAGCAGCCCTGACAGCGAGACGAAGCCGTGTCCCCGGCCCTTGGAGGTTCAGAATCACCCACTCTCAGAGCCTACCTGGCAGAGGCAGGTGGAGGGACCCCACATCCCTGCCCACTCCTCCCCACCCTCACACCGCCTACCCTGTCCTCTCCACTCTGGGGTCAAGACAGACCCAGAGCTGTGAGCTTGGAACAAAGAACCCTCCCCTCGCCCCACCCACAAGGTGACACCAAAGAGGCCAACCCGGTGTGATCTGGGGTCCAAGAGGTGGTCGTGTCTGCCTACTCCAGGCCTGCGAGACTGTCCCCAGGATGCTTGGATAAAGACAGGCCAGTGCAGAGGGGTCAGAGGCCGAGGCCCAGAAGTGGGGCCCTGGCCACGCAGGGGGTGGCAGGTGAAGACAGGCTGTGTGGCCGAGCGGTGCTCTCGTTGCTGGCCCAGTGAACCCAGGACCCCTGTAGTGCCGGACCCCGCAGACACCTCGGGTCCCAGCCAGCAGAGCCCCTTCACACCCTCCGCTTGGGGATCCAGGAATGCCCTCCCCACCACGTGCAGACGGAGAGGCTCTGCCCACTGCACCCACAGCGTCCACGGCGGCCCAGGAGCAGAGGCAGGTGCGGGGCAGGCTGGAGGCAAGCGGCGACAGGCGGGGCGGGGCCTCCACTCACCGCCCACGTGCTTCCGGGACAGGTACTTGAGCGCCTCGTCCAGCAGGATGACAGGAAGAGAGATCTGCAGCACCACCACCCACTGGCGCCCACTCAGTGGTGTCACCTGGAAAACGAGCTGGCGGGGCAGGGAAGGGACGTTTGGCTGAAGGAGGCACTGTCCTGTTGCCCTGGCTGTCCGCTGGCCTTACCCCCCAGGACTCTGATGGACTCTTCGTGAGCACGCCTAAGAACCCCCTAGATGCAGCCCCCAAATCTTCGTCCACCCGGTTTCCTCTGCCTGAAGGCCCCCCACCCTTGCCTGCTGGGACAGCCCCCGCCCACCCTGTGGGGAGGCGGAAGGATTCTGCCCATCGAAGGTATCGTCCTTCCTCCCAGCCCAGCAAGAGGTTTTCCCCTCTTTGTCCCCCAAGTCTGGGCGCTCGGGACAGTGAGGCCACATCTGGGGGCCGTGGCTGGCCAGACCCCTCACCTCCCTCTCCTCCAGGTGGCTTCCATTGCAGGGGGGCCCGGAGAGGCCCAGCGACCAGCCCAGATCCCGTGATGTCCGGGGAGCAGGGCAGTGGGGCAGGCGGGGTGACTCACGGGCAGTGGCGGCACGAGCAAGATGAGGAAGTGCAGGGCCATGGACATGGCCACGGCTGCCAGCAGCCAGGGGTTCATCCAGGGTGGCATCCGCAGCAGTGACTGGTTCTCCGAGACGCTGCCAAGGCACGGGGCGTTCTCCTTAGGCCCTGCCGTGGGCACCCACCCCATGGGAGGAGGCTGGCCACTTCTCCAGCGGCCTGTCACTGCTGCCCGCTCGGCCCACCAGGGCCTGTCTGGGGCTTCGGACCCCTTTCTATCTCCCTCAGACCTAATCCTGGCCTCTCTATTTCTTCAGACCCTAGTCTCGGCCATCTTTGTTCCCTAGACCCCAGTCCTGGTCCCCAGGGACTCTCAGAATCCCCCCCAGGCCCCTCTGACCCTTACATCCCAATCCTGGCCTCAGGGCCTTTGGATCCCAGTCTCAGACGCCCCGACCCCCAGACCCTAACCCTGGACGCTACCTGGGCCCAGACCTCAATCCTGGACCCCTCTGACTCTGACCTCAGTCATGGACTCCTTGACCCTGGAACCCCAATCCTGGACCCCCTTGAACCTCTGACCCCAATCCTGACCACCCCTCAAACATCAGACCCCAACCCCTTGACCCCAGACTCCAATCCTGGGCCTCCCTGAGCCCTAGACCTCAACCCGGGACCCTCTTGACCTCTGGACCCCAATCCTGGATCCCCTTGAACCTCTGACCCCAATCCTGACCACCCCCCAAACATGAAACCCCAATCCTGGACCCTCTTGACCCATAGACTCCAATCCTGGACCCTGCCCCTCAGACACCGATGCTGGAGCCCCCAACCCTCAGCCCCCCACTCCTCAGCCCCAGCTCCAGGCCCTGCGCCCAGCCCACCTGTTGAGGGCATTGCACATTTCAATGGTCACAAGCACGGACAAGGCCATGGTGGTGGGGAAGCGGGACTCAAACACCTCACAGTCGACGCCGGCAAAGAGTGGGTTGTCCTCGGAGCACTTCAGGAAGTTCCTCTGAGAGCACCGTGGCGGGTCAGAGAGAGTGGCAAGTCAGGCGGGTGGCTGCTGGGTGGGAGGAGGGAAGCCTCACCCTGCCCTTGGCCCACACCTGGGCACAGCCAGCCCACAAAACGTTGCCATGGGGTGGGCTGGGGATGCCGGAAGGGGCTCAGGGTGGGGGGCGCTGCACCGTGCCAGGGAGAGTGGGAAAGGCAGGCGGCTCTGGAGCAGTGGGGCGGTGATCAGAGGGAGACCATGTGGCATTAGCCTGGGGAGGCTGGCGGGACCCTGGAGACCACGGAATAAGGAAATACGTGTGAAAATCAACCACAAAACCACGCGTGAACGAATTTCACCTGTGTGGGACACAGGCCCCGATCACTGTTACTGAGATTCCATTTACAGCTGGGCGTGGCAGCTCATGCCTGTAATCCTAGCACTTTGGGAGGTCGAGGCAGGTGGATCACCTGAGGTCAGGAGTTTGAGACCAGCCTGGCCAACATGGTGAAACCCTGTCTCTACTTAGCCAGGCGTGGTGGCGGGCGCCTGTAATCCCAGCTACTTGGGAGGCTGAGACGGAATTCCTTGAACCCGGGAAGTGGAGGTTGCCGTGAGCCGAGATCATGCCATTGCACTCCAGCCTGGGCAACAAGAGCGAAACCCTGTCTCGAAAACAAACAAAAAAGATTCCATTTACACCTCATACCTCACTCCATTTCTGCCACTGGAGACTAATGAATGGCAAGGGGAGCCTTGACAGGTACCTTCTCTGTAATTATCAAGAAGCCGTTAAGGTCAATAAAGGAAGTCGCCTTTGCCCCTGTAACCCCAGGGGCGTTTTCTTTCTGCTCATAAACCTTGTTCACAGAATCTGCTGAGAGAAGAGGCTGAACTGAGGGCATCCGGGGAACCTGTCTTGTTCTTTCATATTATGGGGATGAGGGTGAAAGTTTCCAACCGTTAGCCGGCTTATTCTCCAAAAATACAGATCTGCTCTTGGGAGTCTAGTCTGAACACAGAGATCTGTTACGTTAGAAACTGGGGCCATGTGCCGTGAACATAACCCTCAAGGAAAAACCTGTAAAATGCCCGGCTGTCTGATCTACTGTCGGTCCCGTAAACACATCTGTTTTTCCACCCTGCGCAAATGCAGATGAGGCCACTCTAGGTGTCTTTGCTTCTCTCATGCAGGAAGGAAAATAAGTGTGGCTAGATTTCTTATTTTAACAAAGAGATAAAGAATCTGATAATCTCTTAAATCAATAGTGGACGTTTCTCCAAAACTCAGGCTCCAGCATTCAGCGCAAGTGCACGTCTTGTTGTTTTTGATTTTTGTTTCTGAGACAGGGTCTGACGCCCATCGCCCAGGCTGGAGTGCAAGGGCAGGATCTCAACTCAATGTAGCCTCGACTTCCTGGGCTCAGGTGATTCTCCCACCTCAGCCTCCCAAGCAGCTGAGACTACAGGCCTGAGCCACCACGCCTGGGTAATTTTTGTATTTTTAGTAGAGACAGGGTTTGGCCATGTTGCCCAGGGTGCTCCGCTCTCAAAGTCCTGGGCTCAAGTGATCCACCCGCCTCGGCCTCCCGAAGTGTCGGTATTACAGGTGTGAGCCGCCGTGCCCAGCCTCATTTTTGTATTTGGTGCTGACCATAGAGAAGAGAAAATGTCCTGAACTTTGAACCTGACTCTACCCACCCAGTGACCAAGAGGACGAAATCCTCCTGCCAACTATGCCACTGCTGTCAGGTCCCACCCTGCCAGATCACCGTGGCTTATGCATACGTGTGCACACACACACACAGGGACACACGCCTCGCACCCGGGCATGCGAATGCTTATACGCTTCTGCATCTACACAAGGAAGAAAATACCAATGAGATCATGTCAGGATGTTTTGGTCAGGTGTGGTGGCTCACACCTGTAATCCCAGCACTTTGGGATTCTGAGGCAGGCAGATCACGTGAGGTCAGGAGTTCAAGACCAGCCCGGCCAACATGGTGAAACCTCATCTCTACTAAAAATATAAAAGTTAGTTGGCCATGATGGCAGCTGCCTTTAATTGTAGCTACTTGGGAGGCTGAGGCGGGAGAATCGCTTGAACCCGGGAGGCGGAAGTTGCAATGAGCCAAGATCGCACCATTGCACTCCAGCCTGGGCGACAAGAGCAAAACTCTGTCTCAAAGAAAAAAAAGTTTCAATGGGTCTGTTGCTTTTGCCATAAACGAGCAGTGCAGACCTTCTGGATTTGGCCAGTGAGCACCTGCCACACACATCACAGGTCTCAGTGGCAGCCTCTGGAATTATTCATGAGAAGGTGCGCAGGGCTGGAACTTGGCCGGGGCTCCAGTGATCCACCCGCCTCGGCACATCAGAAAACCCTGGGGGGCCCCATTTCTACAGGTGAGGCCACTGCTCGGCCCACTCCCCTCCGCCTGCCTAGTTCCTATTCCCTGCAACCTGCAAGGTCCCCCGCGTTTTTTATTCTTGTTTTTCAGACTGAGTCTTGCTCTATCGCACAGGTTGGAGTGCACTGGTTCGATCTCAGCTCACTGCAACCCCCGCCTCCCGGGTTCAAGCGATTCTCCCACCTCAGCCTCCCAAGCAGCTAGGATTACAGGCGTCTGCCACCATGCCTGGCTAATTTTTGTATTTTTAGTAGAGACAGGTTTTCACCCTGTTGGCCAGGCTGATCTCAAACTCCTGACCTCGAGTGATCTACCTGCCTCCGCCTCCCAAAGTGCTGAGATTACAGGTGTGAGCCACCGCACCTCGCCTCCTCTGGGTTTTATTAACTTAATTGATATTTACATAGCTCTTATGCAACAGATGCCATTTTAAACATTTTATAAGTATTAACTCAGTTCATCCTCTGGGTAGCCCTATGTGGCAGGAAATATTACCATCCATTTAAGGGGTAAGGAAACCAAGGCGCAGAGAGGTTAAGAAGCCTGCCGAAAGTCACACAGCTAGCATGTGGTGGAACTTAGTTACAAGCCTGGAACATTTAGGTGTCCCCGTTCTGAGCCACTCTGCTGCCCATCAGCAGCTTCCTCCTAGAATCATGGAGCTCTGGACACCCCCAAAATTCCAACCGCAACTCGAATTGAAAGTTCTACCTTGGGTCTAAGCCTTGACGGCCTCTGGCTCACCACCTGCTTTTTCTCCGTCAAATATCTCCCACCTTGAAGCACCCTGTTTCCATGGCCCTCTCCCCACTAGACTGAAAGCTCTTTGCCAAGACTTGGCCTGCTCAGTCACTGCCACATTCCTAGTAATTTGTGTCAAGCACACAGTCAGTTCTTTATTATTATTATTGAGATGGAGTCTCGCTCTGTCTCCCAGGCTGGAGTGCAGTGGCACGATCTCGGCTTACTGCAACCTCCTCCCAGGTTCAAGCGATTCTCCTGCCTCAGCCTCTCAAGTAGCTGGGACTACAGGCGCACACCACCATGCCCAGCTAATTTTTGTATTTTTAGAAGAGATGGGGTTTCGACATGTTGGTCAGGCTGGTCTCAAACTCCTGGCCTCAGGTGATCCACCTGCCTCGGCCTCCCAATGTGCTGGGATTAATTACAGGCATGAGCCACAACGCGCTGGCCCTGTGTTCTTTTATTTTTAGAGACAGGGTCTTGCTCTGTCACTGAGGCTGAAGTGCCGTGGTGCGATCGAGGCTCACTTTAGCTGTGACCTCCTGGGCTCAACTGATCCTCCCACCTGAGCCTCCTTAGTAGCTGCGAGGGACTACAGGCACACATCACCACACCTAATTTTTACTTTTTTTTTTTTTTTTTTTGGTAGAGATGGGGTCTCACTATGTTGTCCAGGCTGGTCTCAAACTCCTGGGCTCGAGTGATCTGCCTACCTTGGCCTCCCAAAGCACTAGGATTACAGGGATGGGCTACCGTGCCCAGTCTCCCCTCCATTCTTTTTTTTTTTTTTGAGACAGAGTCTCGCTCAGTCTCCCAGACTGGAGTGCAGTGGTGTGATCTTGGCTCACTTCAACTGCCGCCTCCCAGGTTCACGTGGCTCAGCCTCTTGAGTAGCTAGGATATAGGCACCTGCCACTACTCCCAGCTAATTTTTGTGTTTTTAGTAGAGACAGGGTTTCAGCATGTTGCTGAGGCTGGTCTTGAACTCCTGATCTCAGGTGATCCGCCCGCCTCGGCCTCCCACAGTGCTGGGATGACAGGCGTGAGCCCCGCCGTCCGACCCTCCCCTCCATTCTTGATCTCCTCAGTTTGACCCTCTGCCTAAAGTCCCACCATTTAGGGGCTCATTCCTCTGGAGCCTCGACGTTTTAGGGTTTCCCTGATAAAGGTAAGATAGGTCTGGCAGTCAGGCCCCTTCCCCCTCCTGACTCACTGGGATGGGGAGCAGCCTGTTGGTTTGGGAGGCTGTGCTGGTGTTTCTGGGTTTCTAGTGGGCTGTGAACGTGGCTCCCTGGGTGGGGATGTCTACACGTGCATAGTGAGTGGGGAAGGACACTGCAGGCCACCCAGCGGCTCTGGAAGTTCAACAGGCTCCCTGGCCTTCCCTTGCTCACCAGCTGGTAGAAGTTGACGTGAGGTCCCTCCGCATCACACAGGAACCACCAGGTGGCGGCAGCCACCGTGGCCAGGCCTACGTACACTGCGGGGAGGGGAGGAGACGGGCTGTAGGGAACGGGGTGGTGTCTGGCATCCGTTTCCCCGCCTCCTGAGTCCCTGAATTCCCAGGGGGAGCCACCCTTTTCCTCTCTAAGCCATGTGGTTTGCAGGCCTCCACCTTCGAGGCCCATGCTGGGCCCTCGCTGGTCAATCAGCCTTGGCCACACCCTTGGCCACAGTGACTGGAGATTAGCAGGTGACACAAGGTGGCCAATGAGAACAGGCCTGAGGCTTTTTTTTTGAGATGGAGTCTCGCTCTGTTGCCCAGGCTGGAGTGCAATGGTGCCATCTCGGCTCACTGCCACCTCTGTCTCCAGGGTTCAAGCAATTCTCCTGCCTCAGCCTCCTGAGTAGCTGGGACTACAGGCGCCTGCCATCATGCCTGGCTAATTATTATTTTTAGTAGAGACAGGGTTTCACCATGTTGGCCAGGCTGGTCTCGAACTCCTGACCCCAAGTGATCCACCCACCTTGGCCTCCCAAAGTGCTGGGGTTACAGGCATGAGCCACCACACCCAGTCCAGGCCTGAGACTTTCATCATACTACCAGCGAGCAGTATGACAAAAGGCTCTCTTTTCTATTGAATTTGGGGTTGTAACGGAGTGAGCATGAGGGCAGGAGCTGCAGCAGCCATTCTGCCACCATGAGGGTCACGGGTCTGAGAATGAAGCTGAGGCAGAGCCAGTGACACAGAGACCCAGATCCAGCCGTGCCTGAGATGTGTATGCTCTGGTCTTTTCGGTTGCATGAGCCCATGCAGTTTCTAACGGCCCAGCCAGGCTGAGGCACACTGTCGCAGCTTGCAAGCCTGATACTTGGCTCTCGGGAAGCTTAGGAATTCCACAGAACGCTCAGCCCACTCACCTCCAATAGCCAGGTACCGGAAGAAGAGCCAGCCGCTGATGAGGGCCTCTCGGGGGTTCCGGGGCAGCTTCTCCATGATGTCCAGGTCTGGTGGGTTGAAGCCCAGCGCCGTGGCAGGCAGGCCGTCCGTCACCAGGTTCACCCAGAGCAGCTGCACGGGGATCAGGGCTTCGGGCAGTCCCAGAATTGCCGTGAGGAAGATGCTAGAACAGAGTCATAGGCTCTAGCTCCCGGCAGGCCCCGTGCCCACCAATGGGGGCTCCAGCTCTTGCTCAGGCCCCAGGCTGGGAGCTCACCCACTGTCTCCACAGCGGCCCCTCCTCCCTCCGCTAGCTTGGATGTGAAGGGCGTGTGTACATGGCTCTGCCTCAGGCCTGGCCAGCCCTGCCTTCCCAAGTCCCAGCTCTGGGTCCTGGACATGTCTGCTCTTTTTTTTTTTGAGACAGAGTCTTGCTCTGCTGCCCAGGCTGGAGTGCAGTGGTGCCATCTTGGCTCACTGCAGCCTCTGCCTCCCAGGTTCAAGCGATTCTCCTGCCTCAGCCTCCTGAGTAGCTGGGATTACAGGTGCCTGCCACTGCGCTTGGCTAATTTTTGTATTTTTAGTAGAGACGGGTTTCACCACGTTGACCAGGATAGTCTCGTTCTCCTGACTCGTGATCTGCCTGCCTCGGCCTCCCAAAGTGCCGGGATGACAGGCTTGAGCCACCGCGCCTGGCCCCATATCTGCTCTTTAGATCTAGCAGAGGCCAAGTACACACACACACACACACACACACACACACACACAGGTGCGCGAAAAGGCCATGCCAAAGCATCAGACGTGCAAAAACCTAGCACATGCCACACAGTCCTGCAAACACAAACACCTACACGTCTGCCCTAAGGCGAATCTACACCTGTCCAGCAGCGCACACGCTCACCGTTCCCCACACGCATCCTCACACGTGAGTACGAGTGTGTACACAGTCACACACCGGCACAAACTCTGCTGCTCACACTCACACTCAAAATGCATGAGAGCACACACACATACACACGTCACACACACCTGACTCAGGCACTCACGCCTGTGCACACAAATACACATTCACACACGGACACACACATTCCTGCCTGACTAGGGGTTTCTCTCATCTTGCTAATCTAAAAGTGGAAGTTCATGGCTGGAGGGCTGACAGGCGGCTCTTCAGGCTCCTCCTGGGTGCTGGGGTGACCATGATCCATAGGTCATCAGGGCCTCCGGGGAATGACCAGATGCCCTCTCCTCCCCTGTCCACTCCAAGGTGGGACCCTGGGAGGCCCCAGCCAGGGCAGTGCACAGGCCCCTCCATCCCTGCAACCCTGTCCCAGGAAAGGGCGTTTTCCCGGTCTCGGGCACAGAGCGGATAGAGCGGGGTTCGAGGAGGGAATCCCCGGCCTCACCAGACAACCTCGCCAACGTTGGAGGAGATGAGGTAGCGGATGAACTGCTTCATGTTGCTGTAGATGGCCCGGCCCTCCTCCACCGCAGCCACGATGGAGGCGAAGTTGTCATCCGACAGCACCATCTCTGCTGCTGACTTGGCCACAGCAGTGCCCGAGCCCATGGCGATGCCGATCTCTGCCTTCTTCAGGGCCGGAGCGTCGTTCACGCCATCACCCGTCTGTGGGCCAGGTCAGGTGGGGCTGTGCCTGAGAAATGTCCCTCCCACCTCCCCCTCTCTTCTCCACTCAGCCCCTCCCCGCTCTTAGGGGATGTCCCGCAGGAAGCAGGCAGCTGGACAGGACACGTGGTGGGTTCTAGCATGAACTTAGAAATCGGGCTGAGGATGGGGCTAAGGGGAAGGCAAGGGGAGCAGACGAGGACAAAGTTGGCGAGAATATCGAGCATGAAGTCAGGGAAGGCGATGAGGTGGGGGTGGCTCACGCCTGTGATCCCAGCACTTAGGGAGGCGGAGGCGGGTGGACCACGAGGTCAGGAGATCGAGACCAGCCTGGCCAACATGGAGAAACCCTGTCTCTACTAAAAATACAAAAATTAGCTGGGTGTGGTGGTGTGAGCCTGTAAGCCCAGCTACTTGGGAGGCTGAGGCAGGAGAATCGCTTGAACCTGGGAGGTGGAAGTTGCAGTGAGTGGAGATAGCACTGTGGCACTCCAGCCTGGTGACAAAGCGAGACATCATCTCAAAAAAAAAAGAAAAAAGTTGAAGGTCAGGTCAAAGTCAGAGGCCAAGGCCAGGTCCACATGAGGAGTGATGTCAAGTGCTATTAAGTCTGGAGTTGCATTCAAGGTCAAGATTGAAGGCCAGGTCAAAGTTGAGGTCAACATAAAGTATTACATTGGGGATGGGGTGGCGTCAAGGTCAGTGCTGAGAATCGGGTCTTGGTCCAGGTCAAGACTGAAATCTATATCAGAGTTAAGCTCAAAGCAAACAGGTAGGTCAGGCTGGGTGTGGGGACCCATACTTGCAATCCCAGTACTTTGGGAGGCCAAGGCAGGAGGATTGCTTGAGTCCAGGAGTTCAAGACTAGCCTGGGTGACATAGGGAGACCCTCATCGCTACAAAAAATTAAAAAATTAGGCAGTGTGGTGGTGTGTGTGTATAGGCTCAGCTGCTCAGGAGACTGAGGTAGGAGGATCCCTTGAGCCATGACTGCGCCACTGCACTCCAGCCCGGGCAACAGAGTGAGACCTCATCACACACACACACAAATAATTACATTAAGATGAGAGTCAACAGCAAGGTCAGGGGCAAAGTCGGCACAGCGGTCAGAGAGAGGATCAAGAACCAGGTCGCAGCTGCAGTCCAGGCTGGTGTGCAGATCACGGCTGGGCCATGGGTCAGGGTTAAGGTCAAGGAAAAGGACTGGGTGAGGCTGGAGGTCAGCGTTCTGGGCACCGGGCCCAGAGGAACATTATTTAAATCTCTCTTTGTATTTGAATTTTTTGGTAATAAGACGTTAGAAGGCCGGGTGCGGTGGCTCACGCCTGTAATCCCAGCGCTTGGGAGGCTGAGGTGGGTGGATCACAAGGTCAAAAAATTGAGACCAGCCTGGCCAACATGGTGAAACCCTGTCTCTACTAAAAAAAAATTACAAAATTAGCTGGGTGTGGTGGTGGGTGCCTGTAAGCCCAGCTACTCAGGAGGCTGAGGCAGGAGAATCACTTGAACCCGGGAGGCAGAGGCTGCAGCGAGCCAAGATCGCGCTACTGCACTCCAGCCTGGGCCACAGAGCCAGACTCTGTCTCAATGAATAAATAAATAAGATACTAACAAGGCGTTAGGAAAGCTAAGCATGAGGCTGAGGGGAGCGCTGCCCAGCTTGCTCTTTCCGCGCACCGCGACCCCACCCGTCAGCCTCTCCCGGGCTCCAGGCTGTGCCCTCACCATGGCGGTGATCTCGTTAAAGGACTGCAGGTTCTCCACGATGCGGGACTTGTGTGTGGGCTCCACGCGGGCGAAGCAGCGGGCAGTGCGGCAGGCGTGGCGCTGCTGCTCGGGGCTGAGGTCATCAAACTCGCGGCCCGTGTAGGCCTTGCCCGCCACGTCCTCCGTGTCCCCAAAGATGCCAAGCCTGCGGCAGATGGCCACAGCAGTGCCTTTGTTATCCCCGGTGATCATGACCACACGGATGCCCGCCTGGCGGCAGCGTGCAATACAACCAGCCACCTCAGGCCTCGGCGGGTCCAGCATGCCCACGCAGCCCACGAAGGTCAGGTCCGTCTGTAAGGAGGAGACAGATTCACACGGGGCCGGAGCTCATCCCTGACCTGCCATCTGCCCAGCTGTTGCAGGGAGGAGCGGCCCCGCACCCACCTCGTACTGCGCAAACTTGCTGCAGTCGTCCAGCTCCATGTCCTCCTTCCTTGGGGGCACGTCCCGGGTGGCCAGCGCCAGGCAGCGCAGCGTGTCTGAGCCGGAGCCCCAATCCCGGATCTTTGCCAGGATCTGCTCCCTGGAGGTGGGGGTCAGGGGTGCTGTGCGGCTGCCCACTCGGACCGAGCTACAGCGCTCGATCACACTCTCAGGAGCCCCCTGCGAGGCGGGGAGCGGGAGAGGAGGCAGCACATCAGTCAGGGCCCCTCCTCTCCCTCCTGCCCAAACTCAGAAAACTAGACCCAGATTAGGGGAATGGCCACCCAGTGCTACACACACAAGGCAGGGACCAGAATACATTCTTTGAAAGTTCAGAGGGCCAGGTGCGGTGGCTCACGCCTGTAATCCCAGCACTTTGGGAGGCTGACACGGGTGGATCAAGAGATTGAGACCATCCAGGCCAACATGGTGAAACCCCGTCTCTACTAAAAATGCAAAAATTAGCTGAGTGTGGTGGCGCATGCCTGTCGTCCCAGCTACTTGGGAGGCTGAGACAGGAGAATCGCTTGAACCCGGGAGGCAGAGGTTGCAGTGAGCCAAGATCACAACACTGCACTCCAACACATTTATCTTTTGGCAACAGAGAGAGCCTCCGTCTCAAAAAAATAAATAAATAAATAAAGTAAATTCAGCGTGAGAACCAAGTGGGCCCCCCTGTGAGACAATCTAAAGGGAACAGGGGTGGGAAGGGTGCTGGGGTGGGTGCAGCCACCAACCAAGCAAAGCTCCCCCCCCGCCCCCGCCAGCCCATAGGGGTAGGGGAGGGCTTGGCTTGGTTTGCCTTTGCAGGTTGGAGTGGGAATGGCATCTCTGCCGGCCTGGCCTCCCTGGTGCTATTCCGGTTCCAGCTGCGTAGGAGCCTCCGCAGCAGGGAGGCAGGCTGAGCCCTGCTGGGGACCAGAAACAGAGCCGCACACAGGGTGTGGCCGGGCACAATGCTGGGAAGGAGTCCGGGGGTCACAGGCCCCTCAGTGGCCTCGTCTCACCCCAAACCTCACCCCGGGCTTAGGAACAGCCTCTCAAGCTCCTTCAATGGCTTCTCCTGCTCCTGAAAGGTCACCCAGACACTAACTTTCCAAAGTGGCCGGAGCTCCCAGCACAGAACAGCTCCTGTGCAGGGTTAAGCTCAAGCTGTGTGTCCTGCTTCGGGTCTGGAAGCAGCAACGGGAGATGCCGTAGACGGTGATGTGCACGGGGGCTGATTCCTTTCCCTCCCTGGGACTCAGTTTCCAAAACACGGAACAAGGGTATGCCACCGGTTAGAGGCAAAAGGGGCTCCTGAGAACTTCTAACCCAACCCTGCCACTTGCAGGGAGACGGGCCCACAGAGGAGCTTGGATGGCCAGGTTCCCCTGGGTGTGCAGGGGCGCAGGCCGGACGGGCAGCCCCACCTTCACAAACATCTTGCTGCTCTGGGCCGCAGCGTGGGGGCGCGTGGGTGTGCAGTACACGGACATGGACTTCCGGTCTCGGGAGAACTCCAGGGTGAACTCCTTCCGCACCAGCTGCTTGATGACCTGCGGGTCCAGGCAGGTCAGGGCAGGAAGGACAGAGCCAGTGACCCTCGCCTGCTCTCCCACCAACTGCCTGGCCCCTAGAAGGCCTCTTGCCGTCTGTGGGGTAGCATCTATGCTCCTCTGACTCTGCCATTCAAGGCCCCCACTTTCCTCTCCAGCCCCAGAAATGGCAGTCAGTTGCCATTCCCCGACCACGCTGTGTGCAGCCCAACGCCAAACCCTTGTCCACACTCAGCCTTCTCCCCGCTTTGCTCCCTAGCCAAGTCTTACTAGGGTTTAGACGTCCTTCCTCCTCCCAGAAGCCTCCCAAGACTTCACTGTCAGCCGGACGCAGTGGCTCATGCCTGTAATCCCACCGCTCTGGGAGGCTGAGGTGGGCCGATCACCTGAGGTGAGGAGTTTGGGACCAGCCTAGCTAACAGAGTGAAACCCCGTCTCTACTAAAAATACAAAAATTGGGCCGGGCTCGGTGGCTCATGCCTGTAATCCCAGCACTTTGGGAGGCCGAGGCGGGTGGATCACAAGGTCAAGAGATCGAGACCATCCTGGTCAACATGGTGAAACCCCGTCTCTACTAAAACTACAAAAAAATTAGCTGGGCATGGTGGCGCGTGTCTGTAATCCCAGCTACTCAGGAGGCTGAGGCAGGAGAATTGCCTGAACCCAGGAGGCGGAGGTTGCGGTGAGCCGAGATTGCGCCATTGCACTCCAGCCTGGGTAACAAGAGCGAAACTCCGTCTCAAAAAAAAAAAAAAAAAAATACAAAAATTAGCCGGGCATGGTGGCACATGCCTGTAATCCCAGCTACTTGGGAGGTTGAGGCAGGAGAATTGCTTGAACCCGGGAGGCGGAGGCTGTGGTGAGCCGAGATCGCGCCATTGCACTCCAGCCTGGGCCATAAGAGCGAAACCCTGTGTATGTTAGTTTTTCGTGTGTAATATATTACACATTTATCTTTGGGGACATAATAAATGCTTTCGTTAAAAAAAAAAAAAAAGCCTTCGGTGTTCTCTCTGCCTTCTCCAGATGTCCCAGAAGCCCCACCCCCGCTCACCGCATTGCAGGCACCAGCTCGCTCCACCCGGGACAGGGCCTGCAGGTCGGTGTCGAACACGTTCATCTTCTCCACCAGGCAAGTCAGAGCCGTCTCCGTGGCCTCTCCCACCTTCTCATACACACCCTTGGCCTGGCAAGGACCGGGGGACAGGGAGTGAAGGGCAGGCTGCCTCCAGCCAGCGTCCCCAGCCTCACTCACTCCTTGCCGGGGTGGTGTCTGACACTGACATCCAGCCTCCCACCCCGGCATCGAAGGCCACACACCCTCCCTGCCCTCCGCCTGCATCTCTGTCCACTTTCTGCCAGCCTCCTTCGGGTGTCTGCTGTCTGGGCCTGCTCCTGCCCTCCCACCTGCTCTCCCTGGGACCACGTGCCTCCTGCCTCCAGCTCCATGTGCTCATGACTGCCTGTGCATGCCCCGCCAAGATCCCTTGCTGAGCCCCTTGCCCACAAGTCCAACCCCTGCCTGCTGAACCTTGTTCCCTGGGGGCCTCTCGAGCCACCTCTCCCGCTTCCTGTAGTTGACACTCCAGTCACAGCCCCAGCCAGGACAGCAACCAGGAGCCACCCTGGCCTCCTCCCTCTCTTTCACCTAACCAGTCACCGAGCCCTAGGATTCTCGGCTCCTAAATGTCGCTGACCCATGCCTTCTCCCCTCTCCCTGAGGTTCCAGCCAGGGCTCAGCCAGCATCTCTGTGGCATAAATGACCACATAGCCCTCCCTGGCTCCGGTCTGGTCTGTCTGTCTGTCCTCCACACAGAAGCCGCGGTGATCTGTAAATGCACATCTGACCGTGTCTCTCTACTACTCAAGTGGTGCTCTACTGCCCCCAGCTTGGCCTTGGAGCAGACTGGGCCTGGCCAAGGACCTCTCCTTGAGCAGACGCATCCTGCTGCAGCCACGTGAACGGTCGTCAATGCCGAAATCACAGAGGCTTTAACTGAATGTGGGCCTTTTGTGGGTTGTGTCTTCTGCTTTAAACACTTTTTTTTTTTTTTTTTCTGAGACAGAGTCTCGCTCTGTTGGCCTGGCTGGAGTGCAGTGGCATGATCTCTGCTCACTGCAACCTCAGCTCCCAGGTTCAAGTGATTCTCCTGCCTCAGCGTCTCCAGTAGCTGGGATTACAGGCGAGCAACAGCATGCCCGACTAATTTTTTTAATTTTTATTTCTAGTAGAGATGGGTTTCACCATGTTGGTCAGGCTGGTTTCGAACTGCTGACCCCGTGATCCGACCGCCTCTGCTTCCTAAAGTGCTGGGATTATGGGCACGAGCCAATGCGCTCGGTTGCTTTAAACGCTTTCTTGGTCCTGTTCCCCAAATCTCTTCCCCCCACCAGGTATCCCCAGCCCTTCAGCCCCTTCCATGGCAGTCCCCAACAGCCCAGGAGCCCCAGAGGGAGGGTTCTGAAGCCCGTCTGAGGAAAGGGAGGGGCAGCAGAGAGGGGTGCGCCGGGGTTACCGTGCTCCCTGGGTGTGGCACTCCCAGGGAGCAAGGGCCGCCAACCCTGGGAGCTTTGAGGCTGGGAAAAGGGTCTGTCCGGGTCGCCGGGATACTAGGGAGGTCATGAAAGGGAGTGGGGCCCACCTCGTTGTAGTCCAGCGCCGAGTCGTTGCACAGGGCGCAGATGGTCGCCAGCTCAACCAGCCCGTCGAACTGGCTGCAGCGCACCTGTCGCTCCCCCTGTCTCCTGCAGAGCCGTAGGGGTCACAAGGAGGGCCTTGGCCTCGCCCCTGGGAGGGGCTCCGCCTCTTGGCCCCGCCCCCGGGAGCCTCCCACGGACACCGCGGCCCCGCCCAGCGAGGCCCCGCCCCCAGGCCCCCCCGCCCACCCGCCCCCTGGCCCCGAACTCACACTTCGCCCTCGGGGGTATATGTGGTACCCGAGATGGTGAACTCGTGCAAAAGGCAGGAGCCCGCTTCGGCCTCGGCTACCACGAACATCTGGGGAGCGCAGGGGCGTGCTCAGGCTGGGTGGGGGGGTCGCCTCCCTCTTCCCTGGACAGCCAGTGTGAATAAAGCCTGATCCCTGGGTGGGGTCCTCCAGGCCCCCTGCCCCACTAAGAGCCAAATAGGCCTGGGCGTCCGTCCCCACCGGGAGGGAAACAGAAGGCAGGGTTCAGGCTGTGGTGGGGATGTCTGCTCTGCTCGTGTGTGTCCCATTCCGGTTTGTCCAAATGTGCTGGGCTTCTGAGGGATTTCTGGCAGATTCTTCCATTCCCTGGGGGCAGCTGCCAGCTTGAGGGAGCCCTGAGCTAGGCAGAAAGCCTGCCCATCTCATTGTGTGACCCCTGGCCAAACACCTGAGCCCCCGTTTCTCCCCCCTGGTAACATGGATATCACCCCTCTTTTGTCTTCAAGGATATGAGTTCCTGGACTTCAGGGGAGGAAACCCACAGGCTGCTCTGAGGCACAGTCCCCTCTAGCCCAGAGATGGCAGAAAGTGAGTCCCTGACACGGGCCTGCTGGTCACCCAGCCCCTACCTGTGCACCTCAGGGACAGGGGCTTACCGGGCCCAGGACGCCTATTTCTCTGTCTGTTTGGCCAGCTCTGCTGGGGAGATGGTTCTTGCTTCTGGACATGACTTTGCTGTACATTTTCAAGCAAATGGCCAGCCCAGCGCCCAGGAGATGCATAATCAATGTCCCTTCCTTCCCTCTCTCCTCTCGGCTTCTGCAGCCGTCCCCCAGCAAGCACAGCCCAGCATCCAGCACATGAGGCCTCTGCAACTTCCCTGCACAGAGCTTTAAAAATCTTTATTAGGGCTGGGTGCTGTGACTCAGGCCTGTAATGCCTGCACTTTGGGAAGCCAAGGAGTGCGGATCACGAAGTCAAGAGATCGAGGCCATCCTTGCCAACGTGGTGAATCCCGTCTCTACTAAAAATACAAAAATTAGCCGGACATGGTGGCGTGCACCTGTAATCCCAGTTACTCAGAAGGCTGAGGCAGGAGGATTGCTTGAACTGGGGAGGCGGAGGCTGCAGGGAGCCGAGATCATGCCACTGAACTCCAGCCTGCTGACGGAGTGAGACTGTCTCAAAAAAAGAAAAATATCTTAATTAGGGCTGGGCATGGTAGCTCAGGCCTGTAATCCCTGCACTTTGGGAGGCCAAGGCGGATGGATCACCTGAGGTCAGGAGTTCGAGACCAGCCTGGCCAACATGGTGAAACCCTGTCTCTAACTAAAATACAAAAATTAGCGGGGTGTGGTGGCGCACACCTGTAGTCCCAGCTACTTGGGAGGCTGAGGCAGGAGAATTGCTTGAACCCAGGAGACGGAGGTTTACAATGAGCTCAGATTGTGCCACTGCACTCCAGCCTGGACAACAGAATGAGACTCTGTCTCAAAAAAAAAAAAATCGTTACTAGTCAAGAAATACTCTGTTTAAATAAAATCCTACCAGGGCTTTTAGCAGGACAGTAAAGCTCATTAGCACCCTCCCGTACAGCAGCCTCTGATGGGCTCCTAGAGGGCCTTAGGGTCTCAGAACACAGAGCATGGGTTTCCAAGCCCAGTGGGCAGATGTGGAAGCAGGGGTGACAGAGGGGCCATGGGGGACCCGGAAGGGTGGAGAACCCCTTAGCCTTTTACCATCTCCACACCCACCCACCTGCTGGGTCAGGAGGAGCCTTCTGCCCCATGGGCCTGCTGAAGTCTCAGCAAGAATCCCTTGGCCATGTGGGCAGCAGGCCCAGGAAGTGGGATCAAGTGCCCTGGAATGAATAATTCCTGCCTGGCCCTTTCCGGGATACCGGAGCTGGCTTATCTGGTGACAGGCGTGGACTGCACAGAGTCATGATAGGGCAGGATGGAACCCGGGTCTGGGCCAGCATGGCGCCTATGCCGAGGCTGAACTTGAGCCTCTCCTGCGTCCTTTATGGTTACCTAGCGGGGCTCACACAGCCAGGCTTCTGATGAGACTGAGGTTCACAGACGGTCAGCAACCTGGCCAGGGCCCCACAGTGACGCACAGGCCTCAGTGACATGTGGCCACCAGCCATTGTTTGCTATAGCCTCCCTGTCATCTCATGAAAACCCGGACCTGCTCTGTGCCGAGGGACAGCCCACAGGTTCTCTCCTCCATCCCTCACCGAAAAGGAGGTCGGGGAGAGACCCAGAGAGGGAGCCCAGCCTGCCCAGTGACGCACAGCAACACCAAGCTGGCCGTCACTCACCCGGCAGACAGACATTTGATTGGTGGTGAGCGTGCCCGTCTTGTCAGAGCAGATGACTGAGGTGCAGCCCAGGGTCTCCACGGAGGGCAGGCTTCGCACGATGGCATTCTTGCGTGCCATGCGCCGCGTGCCCAGTGCCAGGCACGTAGTGATGACAGCCGGGAGGCCCTCGGGGATGGCGGCCACGGCCAGGGCCACGGCGATCTTGAAGTAATAGACAGCTCCGCGCAGCCAGGAGCCACCGTGGGCCGGGTCAGCAAAGTGGCCGATGTTGATGACCCACACGGCCACGCAGATCACGGAGATGGCATGGGACAGCTGCCGCCCAAACTCATCCAGCTTGCGCTGCAGTGGCGTCCGCTCGGGCTCCACCGCCGCCATCTGGCTCCGGATCTTGCCCAGCTCCGTGTGCAGGCCCGTGGCCACTGCCACACCCACTGCTTTGCCCGATGCGATATTGGTGCCCTGGGCCAAGGGAGAGGCAAGGAAAAAGCTGCTCAGAGGCCAGCCATGGGCCTGGGACCCCTGACTCCTTCAGGCCGGAGTAAGCCACTTACCCTTCTGCCTGGCTTGCTTTTTCTGGGTGTCGCTAGTGCTTCCAGACTTCCGTAGCTATGTTATGTATAGGGTCACTGCTGCCTTCCCATGATAGTGTCAGCTCTAAGAAGGCAGGGATTGGCCAGGCGCAGTGGCTCACGCCTGTAATCCCAGCACTTTGGGAGGCCAAGGCGGGCGGATCACCTGAGGTCAGGAGTTCGAGACCAGCCTGACCAACATGGTGAAACCCTGTCTCTACTAAAAATACACAAATTAGCTGGGCGTGGTGGTGTGTGCCTGTAATCCCAGCTACACGGGAGGCTGAGGCGGGAGAACCACTTGAACCTCGGAGGCGGAGGTTGCAGTGAGCCACGATTGCTCCACTGCACTCCAGCCGGGGCGACAGAGTGAGGCTCTGTTTCAAAAAAGAAGAGGTCTGGGTGAGTTTCAATTTCTTGATCCTCTTCACTTCCAGGAGGTTTTCTGTCCCCTTATAACTTGGTGGCCTGGGCCATTGTCTCACTGGTCTGACCCTTCCTTGTGGCCCCAAATGCTCCTTGCTGGTCTCAGGCTGTTGCTGGGCAGCTGTGAGTATCACTTGCTAACTGTCTCTGAGGCCACAGAGGCAGGTCTCTCCTGCCAAAGCTCAACCCATCGTGCTCCCTGAGAAGAGCCGGGTACAGGGCACCACGCCTTGTGGGTCAGTTTTCCTATCTGAGAGGGGACTGTTCCCACCATCTTCCGCCACTTAGGCAGGCCTCTTTCCTCTAGAGGATTTCTGCTGGGTGATTATAGGGAGGCTCTGCCCTTCCAGGAGAAAGCAGGGTCTCCCAGCAGATAAGCTCTAAAGCCGGGATGTCTGCGTTCGCCCCAGCTCTGCCGCTCACTGGCTGTGTGACCTTGGGCAACTTTGCTGGAAAATATAGGTAGCAAGGATAACAAGAGTGCTGGTTTCAAATATTTGGTGTAAGGATTAAATTAACTAATATGTGTAAATGGCTTAGAACAGTGCCAGGCACGTCGCCCCCAGTAAACACAAGCTACAATTACGCTATAAACTTGCATGTATTGTCAAGAATTGATGAGGTTCTGCCCTGTAGGACTTTAGCTGATTAATCCTAATGTCGGGCCAGGTGCGGTGGCTCACACCTGTAATCCCAACACTTGGGGAGCCTGAGGCAGGCGGATCACAAGGTCAGGAGTTTGACACCGCCTGACCAACATGGTGAAACCCTGTCTCTACTAAAAATACAAAAATTGGCTGGGCGTGGTGGTGCATGCCTGTAATCCCAGCTATTCAGGAGGCTCAGGCAGGAGAACCACTTGAACCCAAGAGGCAGAGGTTGCAGTGAGCTGAGATTGCACCACTGTACTCCAGCCTGGGCGACAGAGCAAGACTCTGTCTTTAAAAAAAAAAATTAGCTGCGCATGATGGCATGCACCTATAGTCCCAGCTACTTGGGAGGCTGAGGTCCAAGAGTAGCTTGAACTTGGGAAGCAGGGGTTGCAGTAAGCCAAGATTGTGCCACTGCACTCCAACCCGGGTGACAGGGCCAGAAAAAAAAAGTAATAATGTTATTTTTACCATTGCCTGGGCAAAGTCCCCAGACGTTTCAGGGACTTACAGAAAACAGCATGTTCTTCTTGTCCTGGTTCACAGCTCGGGGGTCTGGGATGGCCTCTGTGTGCTTGGTCACCGACACAGATTCACCTGTGTAGAGATGAGAAGCCTCACATGAAGACACACCCATCCCCTGGTCCAGACCCACCAGGTCCCAGCCTCCGGGAGGCCTCACCCGTCAGGATGGACTGGTCCACTCTCAGCGTGGTAGACTTGATCTCGATGAGGCGGAGGTCGGCGGGCACCTTGTCCCCCACTGTGCACGGAGAATGGCTTGGCTGAGGGTGGCTTTGGGCACCACTGGCTGGGAAAAGCCAGAAGGGTTCCCAGGACCAAAGGCCGGGGCTGGGCGCTGGGTGCCTGAGCTGCAGCTGTTCTGGTGGACCCCTGTCCCTCTGGCCCACAGCCTCATCTGTCCAACGGGGTTTTGGCCAAAGGGCTTTGGAGGGATCTGACGGCCACCCCCTCTGTATAAACAGCCGGAATGATGGAGGCACAGAGACGGATGGGGCTCCCAGGCCCACATAATAAAAGGAGGAAGCCCCTATGGGAGGCTGACGCAGGAGGATTGCTTGAATCCGGGAGGCTGGAGGTTGCAGTAAGCCGAGATCCTGCCACTGCACTCTAGTCTGGGTGACAGATCGGGACTCCATCTCAAAAAAATAAATAAATAAAAATAAAATAAAATAAAAGGAGGAGGCCCCTAGGGGAGGCTGAGGCAGGAAGATCGCTTGAACCTGGGAGGCGGGAGGGTGCAGTGAGCCGAGATCGTGCTACTGCACTCCAGTCTGGGCGACAGAGCGGGACTCTGTCTCAAAAATAAAAGAAAATAGCATAAAAGGAAGAGGCCCGGCATACCCGCCACTTCTACAATGTCCCCAGGGACGATGGCGCGGGCGCGGATCCTCTGCACGCTCCTGCGGTCCGAGCGGATCACCTTGCCCATGTCAGGCTCGTACTCCTTCAGGGCTTCGATTGCACTCTCAGCGTTGCGTTCCTGCAGGGCAGAAGGCAGGCGGGCGGTCTGTCCCTGCTGCCCGCCCCCCGCAGGCCACCCCCTTAGAGTGACTCCCCGGGGCCTGGGATGGAGCCAGAAGCAGAAGGGCCTGCAGTTCCCCGGCACCAGGTGGGGGCACTCCTAGTGGCTGGGAGAGCCCTGGCCCAGTCCCGCCCCCAGCACTTCCCACCTGCCACACGCCCACGATGGCATTGGCCACGAGGATCAGCATGATGACCAGGGGCTCCACGAAGGCGGTCGTGGTCTCCTCGCCCTCCTCGAACCAGGCCAGGACCTGTAGGGTCACAGCGGGTGAGCTCGGGCCCTGCTGCGGGCCGGGATCTGCTGTCCTTTTCCTTGGCATCCCGCATCTCCTGTCTGCTCTCCTGCTTTGGGAAGATGCCACTGTGGAGCCTTGGGCCTGGAGAGGGCCACTTCTCTGAGAAGGATGCCCACCCCACAGGAGTGACCACCCCACCCAGGCCAAGCTTCAAGGGTGTGGAGCAGTTGCAGGGCTGCCCGCCGAGGCCTTACTGTCTGCCTGGAGCACAGCTGCTCAGTATGGTCCCCAGACCAGCAGTGGCAGCGCCTGAGAACTTGTAAGAAATGTAGTTCTCGGCCGGGCAGGGTGGCTCACACCTGTCATCCCAGCACTTTGGGAGGCTGAGGCAGGCGGATCACCTGAGGTTGGGAGTTCAAGACCAGCCTGACCAACATGGAGAAACCCCGTCTCTACTAAAAATACACAAATTAGCTGGGCGTGGTGGTGTGTGCCTGTAATCCCAGCTACACGGGAGGCTGAGGCGGGAGAACCACTTGAACCTCGGAGGCGGAGGTTGCAGTGAGCCACGATTGCTCCACTGCACTCCAGCCGGGGCGACAGAGTGAGNAGCCGAGATTGTGCCACTGCCCTCCAGCCTGGGTGACAGAACAAGACTCTGTCTCCAAAAAACAAGACATTTTTGTGGTCACACTTGAGAGGTGCTGCTGGCATCTGGTGAGTAGAGTCCAGGGATGCCACTAAACATCCCACAGTGGAAAGCCCCCTCACCCACCCCAACAAGAATTATCTGGTCTAAAATATCAGCAGTGCTGAGGTAGAGCAGGTCTAGTCCTCAGCAGGGCATGGCAGGGGCAGATGTGAGTTGCGGAGCTGGCTGAGAGCCAGAGGGTAAGATGGATCGAGGGGTCAGGTGGGAGCCGGGAGCCCAGTGTAGGGGCCGTGAGGTTCAGGCAAGGGAGGCTGAAGTCGGAGCAGGGCAGGGCCAGGCAAGGCTGGGGAGCCAGCCGGGGACGCCCACAGTGTGAAGGACACGGCTAGGCTCCTGGGTCTCTGAGCGCTGCCCAGCCTGGCTCTCCCTCCAGGCTACCCCCGACCACAGGATGGCAGGCAGGGCCGTACTTACAAAGGAGACCAGGGCGGCCAGCAGCAGGATGCGCACCAGGAGGTCCTGAAATTGTTCCAGCACCAGCTCCCACAGGGACTTCCCTGGGAACGGGGAGCACGTGTGAGGCTGGGCCTCCACCACTGACCCTTCCCACTCAGAGCTGGGATGGCCTCGGAGACCTCCCGGCCCGTTCTCTCCTGCACTCGGAAGACGGAGAACCCAGGTCGCTGAGAGGCACAGGTGGGTGATCCTGGGGCACTCAGCAAGGCCTCCCTTGCTGGGAGAGGGAGTCACGATCTGACAGTGAACCACACAGGGAAGCTGTCCCGTGGCCTGGTGGCCCACCCCGGTGCCAGCCTCCCGGTGCCAGCCTCCCCGTGCCAGCCTCACCTTCCTCGGTCGGGAGCTCTGCAGGATCCAGGCAGCCACGGTGCCATGAGGAGACAAGAGAGGAGGGTCAGCGGGGGTCTCGGGGGAGCCTGGCAGCATCTTCCCACGGCACCCACCCAGGTCCCCACCGAAGTCTGGATGTGTCCTCAGGCCTCTCTGAGGTCACAGAATGGATGGTTTGATCCCAAATGCCTCCACCCCCCCACACCCACCCCACTCAGATTAAGGAAAAGGAGCCAAGGGAGTCTTGGCTCGTCTTAAGGTGGGATCAGAGCCAAGAGCGTCCTTCCAGCCCCTCCAGTCCAGCCCCTCCCTGCCCCATTCATAGAGGGGAAACTGAGGTCTAGAAAAGAGGAACTCCTCCCCACCCCGGCCCAGGTAACACGGAGAGTGGGCTGTTCTTCCCCTGGAGGCTGCATGGTTCTGTTCAACAATTCCCACCCCCACAGCAAGGCAGCCCCTCCCTCGAAGGAGAACAGCGGCTCAGGCTCCTTGCGCTCAGCTGGCCTCTGGCATCCCGGCTCCCCTAGGACCAGCTGGACGAGGTCTGCAGCTGCACCAGCCTGCTGAACCCCACCGCACAGGGGGCCTTCCCCTGGACAGGACCCCAGCAGCCAGCACCCTGCAGTGAGGATCCCTCCCATGGCGTGGTCCCCTGCCCTGGCCCTGCACTCCGGGCAGCTCGGCGAAGACTCCCAGCCCCCATGCCTAGTCCCAGTCCCACCCAGCAAGTGAAGAACGCTGTTTCCAGACTCCAACAGCACCAGCCCCACTGTAGCTGCTTTTTTGTTTTGAGACGGAGTCTCACTCTTTGCCCAGGCTGGAGTGCGGTGGCGCCATCTCGGTTCACTGCAACCTCCACCTCCTGGGTTCAAGCGATTCTCCTGCCTCAGCCTCCCCAGTAGCTGGGATTACAGGTGCGCACCACCACACCTGGCTAATTTTTAAAAAATTTTTAGTAGAGATGGGGTTTCACTATGTTGGCCAGGCTGATCTCGATCTCCCGACCTCGTGATCTGCCGGTATCGGCCTCCCAAAGTATTGGGATTACCGGCATGAGCCACCGAGCCCAGCCTAGGCACTGGTTTTTATCTCCAACGTTTCCTGGAGCAGTTTTTGTATCAGGCAGAGCTGGCTGCCTGGGCCCCGGAAGTCTTTGAATCATTTCGACAGCCTGCGGGGAGTTCTAGTCCTGCTTCACGGAGTGCAGGTACGGCCTGGGCAAGGCCACAGGGCTGGAGAGTGGGTCCATGGGGGGCTGAGAGGGGCGGGAGCGGGGCCCTGGAGGGTGGCTTGGGGAGGCTTCCCCTTTCCAGGCTGCTAACTGAGCCCTGCCTCCTTCTGTCCCTTGCCATGCTAGGGACAGTCTCCAGACATCTGTGGCATCTCCCCAAAGCTTTCTAGCCCCGTGGAGTGCGAGGCCCCGCCCCCGGCTGGCCGTCTTCCACCTTGTCCTTCCTGCTGCTGGAAACGGGTCCTCGCCTCTGTCCACCTGTCTCTGCCTGCAGACATTCTTTCCTAGGGAGCCCTCTCCCCGGACCACCTGTTTGAAGCTTTGGGGTCTGCACCTGGCAGCGGAACCCTGGGGAGCATCAAGCAGCCCATTGGACTGCAGGAATCCAGGAGGGAAATACAGAGCCTAAAAATACACTTTCTAGAATTTTCTCCAAAGTCCTATTTTAGGCAATGGCTGACATTTTCCGTGGAAAATGTAATCTCCAGTGTCCTGCGTCAAGATTAAAATCAAACAGACTTTTTTCCTTCTGATCTATTTAGCTGAGGCGAACAGGAAAGGCGGGGGGAGAGCCAGGCCTGGTTTTTGGGCCAATTCTCCAACGGAGCAGGGTGCGTTAGAGGTCGCCTCAGCCATGCCCCAGCCTCGAATCAGGACGGCGCTAACCTCATGGTGCACATGCGTGGGCCTGTGCCGTGCCCGACCGGGGAGACTCCTGGAACCCCCATCTTTACTTATTCCGGGAAAGGGCGAGGCCTGGGGTGGGGAAGTGTGCCGTCGGGTCCCCGTGCCAGCTCCATTCCCTGTGCTTCCCCACAAAGGCCCCCACGATGCCGCCTGCCTGCCTTGGCTGATCTCTCAAGTTCTCCGTTCTCTCTCTTTTTTTTAATTTTATTATTTTTTTTGAGATGGAGTCTCACTCTGTTGTCCAGGCTGAAGTGTAGCGGCGCAATCTTGGCTCACTACAGCCTCCATCTCCCAGGTTCAAGCGATTTTCGTGCCTCAGTCTCCCGAGTAGCTGGGATTACAGGCACCCACCACCACGCACAGCTAATTTTTGTATTTTCAGTAGAGACGGGGTTTTGTCACGTTGGCCTGGCTGGTCTCGAACTCCTGACTTCAGGTGATCCGCCCACGTCAGCCTCCCAAAGTGCTGGGATTACAGGCGTGAGCTGCCGTGCCTGGCCCAGTTTGCCTTTCTCTCCCTCTCCATGGGGATGATCTCCCCTCCTGCTCTCTGACCCACCCTGACCCAGGACCCACTCTTGGGTGCTCATCATGCTGTTCCCCAAATATTTCTGTTCCTCCCTACCTCGCACGCACATAGTAGGAAGGCACTTCGTGGCCCCCGGGTGGGTTTGAGAAGCGGGTGGGTACTCATGCCAGGATGGAACACTGACTTTTGGTGGGCACTTCTAGGAGGTCAGTCCAGTGGAATGTTCTGTGACAGCAGAAGTGTCCTTTCTCTGTGCCGGCCAGGACCACTAGCCACATGCAGCTGGTGAGCCCCTGCACTGTGACTAATTTCTAATTTGACTCTGATTTTCGTGCATTTAAATATGAAGAACCAAGTGGCTGTAGCTCTTCCGACACTCTCCGACAGCAGCCTGTGAGATGGTGAGGAAGGCACAGAGCCCCCGATGCCCAGCCTGCGCCAGCACTCAGCAGGAGTGAGAAATGAGCCTCTGGTCATTCAAGCCTCTGAGATTCGCAGGCGATTGCTGCAGTAACCTAGCTGAACCTGACAGATAGCTTCCCTCCACCCAAGCCTGGCTCACCGCAAGGCTCTGCTCTCACCGGGGGAGCCCCGACCTGCCCCTGAGTCCTGCCCACACAGCCTGCTCCTGGTGAGGCCTTGAGCCTCGTTTGGGCGGCGGGGTACCCACAGCCACCCTGAAGGGCTGCTGTGGCGACCAGCACCATCATCGCTACTGAGAGCCACATTTACCGAGCACCTGCCAAGCAATGTACCAGGCCCCTTCCCACATCATCTCCAGACACCCAATGGGAAGACACCGGGGACCGTGCACGTGAGGTGCTTAGCAGAGGTAACAGCAGCGGCTGGCGGCGTGTCAGACACCCTGCTAACTCCTTGCGTGCCTTATTCTCATGATCCTCAAACAAGCTGGGAAGGAGGATGCCATTGTCATGCCCATTTTACAGAGCACACAACAGAGAGGTTGAGTGACTCTTTCAGGGTCACACAGCGGCGGGGAGGCAGAGAAGGGTTTTGGGCGCAGGCCACCTGGTTCTCGACCCCCTGCTGTGGGCCTGCTGCGCTGACTCTCTGGCGGTCCGGCCTTCACCCCTCCACTCTGTTTACCACCCACCCAAGGTCATCTGAACACCCTTGGTGTCCCATGTCCTGATTATCGGGCTGGGTGCCCTCATCCCATCAATGGGCGTGCCCCTCTGTAGAGACCCCAGAGCCACAGCACAAATCCTCCAGTCTGAAAGGCCCTGCTGGCCTCCCTGATGGTGTTTGAAGGGCTCACTGGGCTCTGCCTGCCCAGGCCTGATCTGCTTCAAATGCCCCCAAAGGACCCTAGTCTCCCCTCACATGAATGAGTCCCAGGGTGACGGAGGGAGCCCAGGGCTGGGAGAGCCCCGCCCCAGGCGTTCCTGGAAGATGCTGGCTCCTTCCTTGTTCTCCCCGAAGGCTGCATGTTGGGGGCTGACACAGTTCTCCTTGAAATGGTGGCCTTGGGCCTCTGGCAGCGCCAGATGTCCCATCTGTTCCACGGGAGAGTGCCCTGGCTCTGTCCTCTCTCAGTGCCATACGCTGGGCTGCAGGGAGCAGAGGCAGGACCAGGAGGTGCCACACCCTCCGAGAGCCACAGTGGGGCCGGCCACTCTTCTTATCTGAGCCTCTGCCACGGTGACCCCTGCACTGGCTCACGTGGCTGGACTGAGAGGGCCTGTGTCAGCCTGCGGTCCTGGGGACAAAAGGCAGGTGATCCAAGAAGCTCCGTGGCTTAGACCAAGGAATCTGGACCAGAGGGCTCAAGTTCGAATCCTGCTCTATCTTACGGTACTTCCATGGCCACAGGCAAGTTACCTAATCCCATTTCTCCGTCTGCAAGAAGAGAGTGATACTGACAAGTGCCTCTCAAGGATGCCGGAGGATTGAATGGCACGCACAGAGCGGGTAGAAGGCACAGCTCACAGCTCACAAGCTGCAGTCATCACCACTTGCTGGAACATAAGCTCTAGGGCAGCGGACTTGGCTAAGCGCAGTGTCTCCAGCACCCAGAGCGGCTCCTGGTGCACGCAGCTGCTCGGTAAATGTATGTGACAAATGCCTGGCCCTGCCTCGGTCCTGCTCATAGAGCTTCTGGGCTGTCCTTGGTCTACAGAATAAACACCACCTCAGCTCAGCGTTCAGGGCTTTCCTGGACCTCCCGCACCTGCCCTTCTAGGATCACGCGTGTACCCCAGCGTACATCTGTCCCTCTGGACGCTAAGCCTCAGGGCTGCCACCCCTCTTGCTTAGTTTATTTATAATTGACAAATCATAATTGCATATATTTATGGGGTCCAGCATGATGTGTTGATAACCCCGTTTTACAAAGCTTCCCCTCCTTATATATGTGTGTGTGTATATATGTATTATACGTATATGTATATAATACAATATAAATGTTATGTATGTATATAACAATATATACATATAAAATATATGTATATATGTATATATATTTTATACACACACACACACACACACACATATATATATGTATTTTTTTTTTTTTAGACAGAGTCTCACTCTGTCACCCAGGCTGGAGTGCAGTGGTGCAATCTCGGCTCACCGCAACCTCAGCCTCTGGGTTCAAGCGATTCTCCTGCCTCAGCCTCCCAAGTACCTGGGATTACAGGCAGCTGCCACCTTGCCTGGCTAATTTTTTATCTTTATTTTTAGTAGAGACAGCGTTTTACCATGTTGGTCAGGCTGGTCTCAAACTCCTGACTTCAAGTGAGCCGCCCGCCTCAGCCTCCCAAAGTTCTGGGATCCCAAAGGGCTAGGCACTACGGCCGGCCTTCCTCCTCCGATATTTGGCTTGTGCCATTCCTTCTGTCCACACACCGTCCCATCTCGTCACCTCAACCCCTTTCCAGGAAGGCTTCTCTGAAAAGCCCCTCCCCTGCTTCGTCGCCGTGCCCTTCTCTGACCGGCCGTCAGTGCTGGGGTCCCCCTCCACACTGGAGCGCTGCCAGGGCGGGGCAGGGCTGAGTCACCCCTGCGTGGATGCTGAGTCCTCACAGTAATTGTTTATTCGGTTGCTTCCCGGTGCAGGCCTCGGTGCTGAGCCCACAGCCCAGAGCCATGGCCCTGACCTGCCCCCAGGCCCCACACACCACCTGCTCCCTCATACCCCCACTCCTTCCTTCTCAAAACACTGAAAACTGGTATTTCAGCTTCTAAATGTCAGTTCCAGCTGGGAGAGGCTAGCACTCACCCAGGTCTTCCTCAAAGGTAAATTTGCAGAGCAATTAAATCGTCACTTGCAGAGTCAGGGACAGGCCCTGGCTGGGCAGGGCCCGCCCAGCCCACCTGGCCCTGCCTGTGTCTCCCGGGTCCACCTAGAGTGGACACCTGACCCAGTGGTGCGGGGGCTGCGGCGGGGCCTTGGGAAGTAGCGCTCCCTCTGCAGAGGGGCCTGCGGCGCACCTGGCTCATCCGGAGCTGCAGATGAAGGGTTTGCTAATGCTCGATTATGCTGTGGGAAAAACCAGGCCCTGCCTTAGGGTGCCAGAGGGTGAGGGGGACCGGCTGGGCAGGCCTGATGCTGCTCCTGGGGGTCTTCGGCTGCCCAGCAGGGGCCAGTGGGAGTGAAAACTAGGGTGAAGTGTGAAAGACCTGGAGCTTCCAAAGGGCTGCAGGCAAAACACACCCTCTCAGATCCTGCAGTGCCTTTAGGGGACCTCAGGGTTCCGTCCCTGCTATCCTCAGTAGCAGCAAGTCCAAGGAGGGACAACCAGGGCCGCTCCCATCAGCCCCTCCTCCTGACACCCTCCATTCCTCTTGGCCTGGTTTCCGTGGGCTGCGCATAGGGGCTGCCCGAGTTTCAGTGCCAACTAGGGCCTGGAACTTATTTGAGGGCAGCAAATAAGGCCACAGCCAAGAGGCTGCTGGAAGGAGTCTAAATCCAGACCACCTACCCCACCTGGCAGCTCTGGGGCCAAGGCGCGCACTGCAGATGGGCAGCATGTGGCCCAGAAAGGCAGGTTCTGCCTGGCCTGCCTGTCCCTTGAACAAAGACCACCCCGGGAGACCTCCTGGGATCTGCCCGACTCCCACCCGTTTGGTGGCTCCTTAGCATATGATAAGATGTGACTTTAAACAGAAAGATGCAAAGCAAACCTACGAGGGGACAATTCTGTAGGCACAGATCAAACCGCCTGATCCCACCCTGCAAGATGAAGCGGTGGAGAGTGAGCCGGTCAGTCAGCCCGACCGCAGAGAACAATTTAGTGACAGCCGACGACGATGCAGAAAACATACACCCACTTGCACCCCACCGCTCCGCCCCCAGGAATGCAGCCTTTGGTGATATTGGCAAGTGCGTGACATGATGTGGCAACAACGTTGCGTGTCATAGCAGAGGCTGCCGACAACACAAGCTCCACCAGAAGTCAGGGAAAAGCCACATGCGAAGTCCCCACAGCGACGAGGAAGCCCGCCCAGGCTCCTCCTGACACCCGCTCCAAGAATGACTGTCAAGGTCAAAGCAGGGGCAAAGGGCGCTCAGCCTCCTCCTGCTTCTGTGTGGGAAAAGATCACAGATCTGGGCTCCAGATGTGTGTCTGCACGGATGGTCTTGGGAAGCACACACAAGAAACTGGGAGGATGGGAAACGGGTGGCTGGGGACAGGGTCGGAGGCTTTCTGTGGACCTTTTGTACCCCTTGAATGATGCACTGTGCACATTTTTATTCAAAAAAATTAAAAAGGGCCAGGCGCGGTGGCTCGTGCCAGTAATCCCAGCACTTTGGGAGCCCAAGGCAGGTGGNTTTTGGTTGGGGAGACAGAGTCTTGCTCCGTCACCAGGCTGGAGTGCAGTGACTTGAACCGGCTCCCTGCAACCTCCGCCTCCTGGGATGAAGCAATTCTCATGCCTCAGCCTCCCAGGTAGCTGGGACTACAGGCGTGCGCCACCACGCCAGTTTAATTTTTTGTATTTTAGTAGAGACAGGGTTTCACCATGTTTCCCATGCTGGTCTCAAACTCCTGATCTCAGGCGATCCACCGGCCTCGGCCTCCCAAAGTGCTGGGATTACAGGTGTGAGCCACCATGCCCAGCCAAGCCCAGGTGATTCTGATGCACGTATTCAAAGCACACTGGCCGGGGGAGCATCAGCATCAGGAACGAAGGAAGAGCAAGAGGAGGCAGCAGCCGGGAGGAGGCTGCCAGAGGTTCAGGCCCCAAAGTCCACCTGGGGGGCACTGGGAGCCACGGGAGGAGTTATGGTAGCAGCACTCAGGCAGGGAGATGTGTCCCCCAGGGACATTTGGCAATGTCCGAAGACATGTTTATTTTTTGAAACAGGGTCTTGCTTTGTCGCCTAGGCTGGAACGCAGTGCTGTGATCACGGCTCCCTGCAGCTCCGACCTCCCAGGCCCAAGCAGTTCTCCTGCCTCAGCCTCCAGAGGGGCTGCGACCACAGGCCTGCACCACCACACCCAGTTAATATTTTGTATTTTTTGTGGAGACAGGGTCTCCCTATGTTGCCCAGGCTGGTCCCATACTCCTGGGCTCAAGTGATTTTACTGCCTCGGCATCCCACAGTGCTGAGATTTCAGGCATGAGCCATTAGGCTTGGCTGTCTAAGTAGACATTTTTGAGGCTGGGCAGATTGCCTGAGCTCAGGAGTTCGAGACCAGCCTGGGCAACACAGTGAAACCCCGTCTCCCCTGAAATACAAAAAATTTAGCTGGGTGTCGTGGCGGGCACCTGTAATCCCAGCTACTTGGGAGGCTGAGGCAGGAGGATTGCATGAACCTGGAAGGTGGAGGTTGCAGTGAGCCGAGATTGTGCCACTGCCCTCCAGCCTGGGTGACAGAACAAGACTCTGTCTCCAAAAAACAAGACATTTTTGTGGTCACACTTGAGAGGTGCTGCTGGCATCTGGTGAGTAGAGTCCAGGGATGCCACTAAACATCCCACAGTGGAAAGCCCCCTCACCCACCCCAACAAGAATTATCTGGTCTAAAATATCAGCAGTGCTGAGGTAGAGCAGGTCTAGTCCTCAGCAGGGCATGGCAGGGGCAGATGTGAGTTGCGGAGCTGGCTGAGAGCCAGAGGGTAAGATGGATCGAGGGGTCAGGTGGGAGCCGGGAGCCCAGTGTAGGGGCCGTGAGGTTCAGGCAAGGGAGGCTGAAGTCGGAGCAGGGCAGGGCCAGGCAAGGCTGGGGAGCCAGCCGGGGACGCCCACAGTGTGAAGGACACGGCTAGGCTCCTGGGTCTCTGAGCGCTGCCCAGCCTGGCTCTCCCTCCAGGCTACCCCCGACCACAGGATGGCAGGCAGGGCCGTACTTACAAAGGAGACCAGGGCGGCCAGCAGCAGGATGCGCACCAGGAGGTCCTGAAATTGTTCCAGCACCAGCTCCCACAGGGACTTCCCTGGGAACGGGGAGCACGTGTGAGGCTGGGCCTCCACCACTGACCCTTCCCACTCAGAGCTGGGATGGCCTCGGAGACCTCCCGGCCCGTTCTCTCCTGCACTCGGAAGACGGAGAACCCAGGTCGCTGAGAGGCACAGGTGGGTGATCCTGGGGCACTCAGCAAGGCCTCCCTTGCTGGGAGAGGGAGTCACGATCTGACAGTGAACCACACAGGGAAGCTGTCCCGTGGCCTGGTGGCCCACCCCGGTGCCAGCCTCCCGGTGCCAGCCTCCCCGTGCCAGCCTCACCTTCCTCGGTCGGGAGCTCTGCAGGATCCAGGCAGCCACGGTGCCATGAGGAGACAAGAGAGGAGGGTCAGCGGGGGTCTCGGGGGAGCCTGGCAGCATCTTCCCACGGCACCCACCCAGGTCCCCACCGAAGTCTGGATGTGTCCTCAGGCCTCTCTGAGGTCACAGAATGGATGGTTTGATCCCAAATGCCTCCACCCCCCCACACCCACCCCACTCAGATTAAGGAAAAGGAGCCAAGGGAGTCTTGGCTCGTCTTAAGGTGGGATCAGAGCCAAGAGCGTCCTTCCAGCCCCTCCAGTCCAGCCCCTCCCTGCCCCATTCATAGAGGGGAAACTGAGGTCTAGAAAAGAGGAACTCCTCCCCACCCCGGCCCAGGTAACACGGAGAGTGGGCTGTTCTTCCCCTGGAGGCTGCATGGTTCTGTTCAACAATTCCCACCCCCACAGCAAGGCAGCCCCTCCCTCGAAGGAGAACAGCGGCTCAGGCTCCTTGCGCTCAGCTGGCCTCTGGCATCCCGGCTCCCCTAGGACCAGCTGGACGAGGTCTGCAGCTGCACCAGCCTGCTGAACCCCACCGCACAGGGGGCCTTCCCCTGGACAGGACCCCAGCAGCCAGCACCCTGCAGTGAGGATCCCTCCCATGGCGTGGTCCCCTGCCCTGGCCCTGCACTCCGGGCAGCTCGGCGAAGACTCCCAGCCCCCATGCCTAGTCCCAGTCCCACCCAGCAAGTGAAGAACGCTGTTTCCAGACTCCAACAGCACCAGCCCCACTGTAGCTGCTTTTTTGTTTTGAGACGGAGTCTCACTCTTTGCCCAGGCTGGAGTGCGGTGGCGCCATCTCGGTTCACTGCAACCTCCACCTCCTGGGTTCAAGCGATTCTCCTGCCTCAGCCTCCCCAGTAGCTGGGATTACAGGTGCGCACCACCACACCTGGCTAATTTTTAAAAAATTTTTAGTAGAGATGGGGTTTCACTATGTTGGCCAGGCTGATCTCGATCTCCCGACCTCGTGATCTGCCGGTATCGGCCTCCCAAAGTATTGGGATTACCGGCATGAGCCACCGAGCCCAGCCTAGGCACTGGTTTTTATCTCCAACGTTTCCTGGAGCAGTTTTTGTATCAGGCAGAGCTGGCTGCCTGGGCCCCGGAAGTCTTTGAATCATTTCGACAGCCTGCGGGGAGTTCTAGTCCTGCTTCACGGAGTGCAGGTACGGCCTGGGCAAGGCCACAGGGCTGGAGAGTGGGTCCATGGGGGGCTGAGAGGGGCGGGAGCGGGGCCCTGGAGGGTGGCTTGGGGAGGCTTCCCCTTTCCAGGCTGCTAACTGAGCCCTGCCTCCTTCTGTCCCTTGCCATGCTAGGGACAGTCTCCAGACATCTGTGGCATCTCCCCAAAGCTTTCTAGCCCCGTGGAGTGCGAGGCCCCGCCCCCGGCTGGCCGTCTTCCACCTTGTCCTTCCTGCTGCTGGAAACGGGTCCTCGCCTCTGTCCACCTGTCTCTGCCTGCAGACATTCTTTCCTAGGGAGCCCTCTCCCCGGACCACCTGTTTGAAGCTTTGGGGTCTGCACCTGGCAGCGGAACCCTGGGGAGCATCAAGCAGCCCATTGGACTGCAGGAATCCAGGAGGGAAATACAGAGCCTAAAAATACACTTTCTAGAATTTTCTCCAAAGTCCTATTTTAGGCAATGGCTGACATTTTCCGTGGAAAATGTAATCTCCAGTGTCCTGCGTCAAGATTAAAATCAAACAGACTTTTTTCCTTCTGATCTATTTAGCTGAGGCGAACAGGAAAGGCGGGGGGAGAGCCAGGCCTGGTTTTTGGGCCAATTCTCCAACGGAGCAGGGTGCGTTAGAGGTCGCCTCAGCCATGCCCCAGCCTCGAATCAGGACGGCGCTAACCTCATGGTGCACATGCGTGGGCCTGTGCCGTGCCCGACCGGGGAGACTCCTGGAACCCCCATCTTTACTTATTCCGGGAAAGGGCGAGGCCTGGGGTGGGGAAGTGTGCCGTCGGGTCCCCGTGCCAGCTCCATTCCCTGTGCTTCCCCACAAAGGCCCCCACGATGCCGCCTGCCTGCCTTGGCTGATCTCTCAAGTTCTCCGTTCTCTCTCTTTTTTTTAATTTTATTATTTTTTTTGAGATGGAGTCTCACTCTGTTGTCCAGGCTGAAGTGTAGCGGCGCAATCTTGGCTCACTACAGCCTCCATCTCCCAGGTTCAAGCGATTTTCGTGCCTCAGTCTCCCGAGTAGCTGGGATTACAGGCACCCACCACCACGCACAGCTAATTTTTGTATTTTCAGTAGAGACGGGGTTTTGTCACGTTGGCCTGGCTGGTCTCGAACTCCTGACTTCAGGTGATCCGCCCACGTCAGCCTCCCAAAGTGCTGGGATTACAGGCGTGAGCTGCCGTGCCTGGCCCAGTTTGCCTTTCTCTCCCTCTCCATGGGGATGATCTCCCCTCCTGCTCTCTGACCCACCCTGACCCAGGACCCACTCTTGGGTGCTCATCATGCTGTTCCCCAAATATTTCTGTTCCTCCCTACCTCGCACGCACATAGTAGGAAGGCACTTCGTGGCCCCCGGGTGGGTTTGAGAAGCGGGTGGGTACTCATGCCAGGATGGAACACTGACTTTTGGTGGGCACTTCTAGGAGGTCAGTCCAGTGGAATGTTCTGTGACAGCAGAAGTGTCCTTTCTCTGTGCCGGCCAGGACCACTAGCCACATGCAGCTGGTGAGCCCCTGCACTGTGACTAATTTCTAATTTGACTCTGATTTTCGTGCATTTAAATATGAAGAACCAAGTGGCTGTAGCTCTTCCGACACTCTCCGACAGCAGCCTGTGAGATGGTGAGGAAGGCACAGAGCCCCCGATGCCCAGCCTGCGCCAGCACTCAGCAGGAGTGAGAAATGAGCCTCTGGTCATTCAAGCCTCTGAGATTCGCAGGCGATTGCTGCAGTAACCTAGCTGAACCTGACAGATAGCTTCCCTCCACCCAAGCCTGGCTCACCGCAAGGCTCTGCTCTCACCGGGGGAGCCCCGACCTGCCCCTGAGTCCTGCCCACACAGCCTGCTCCTGGTGAGGCCTTGAGCCTCGTTTGGGCGGCGGGGTACCCACAGCCACCCTGAAGGGCTGCTGTGGCGACCAGCACCATCATCGCTACTGAGAGCCACATTTACCGAGCACCTGCCAAGCAATGTACCAGGCCCCTTCCCACATCATCTCCAGACACCCAATGGGAAGACACCGGGGACCGTGCACGTGAGGTGCTTAGCAGAGGTAACAGCAGCGGCTGGCGGCGTGTCAGACACCCTGCTAACTCCTTGCGTGCCTTATTCTCATGATCCTCAAACAAGCTGGGAAGGAGGATGCCATTGTCATGCCCATTTTACAGAGCACACAACAGAGAGGTTGAGTGACTCTTTCAGGGTCACACAGCGGCGGGGAGGCAGAGAAGGGTTTTGGGCGCAGGCCACCTGGTTCTCGACCCCCTGCTGTGGGCCTGCTGCGCTGACTCTCTGGCGGTCCGGCCTTCACCCCTCCACTCTGTTTACCACCCACCCAAGGTCATCTGAACACCCTTGGTGTCCCATGTCCTGATTATCGGGCTGGGTGCCCTCATCCCATCAATGGGCGTGCCCCTCTGTAGAGACCCCAGAGCCACAGCACAAATCCTCCAGTCTGAAAGGCCCTGCTGGCCTCCCTGATGGTGTTTGAAGGGCTCACTGGGCTCTGCCTGCCCAGGCCTGATCTGCTTCAAATGCCCCCAAAGGACCCTAGTCTCCCCTCACATGAATGAGTCCCAGGGTGACGGAGGGAGCCCAGGGCTGGGAGAGCCCCGCCCCAGGCGTTCCTGGAAGATGCTGGCTCCTTCCTTGTTCTCCCCGAAGGCTGCATGTTGGGGGCTGACACAGTTCTCCTTGAAATGGTGGCCTTGGGCCTCTGGCAGCGCCAGATGTCCCATCTGTTCCACGGGAGAGTGCCCTGGCTCTGTCCTCTCTCAGTGCCATACGCTGGGCTGCAGGGAGCAGAGGCAGGACCAGGAGGTGCCACACCCTCCGAGAGCCACAGTGGGGCCGGCCACTCTTCTTATCTGAGCCTCTGCCACGGTGACCCCTGCACTGGCTCACGTGGCTGGACTGAGAGGGCCTGTGTCAGCCTGCGGTCCTGGGGACAAAAGGCAGGTGATCCAAGAAGCTCCGTGGCTTAGACCAAGGAATCTGGACCAGAGGGCTCAAGTTCGAATCCTGCTCTATCTTACGGTACTTCCATGGCCACAGGCAAGTTACCTAATCCCATTTCTCCGTCTGCAAGAAGAGAGTGATACTGACAAGTGCCTCTCAAGGATGCCGGAGGATTGAATGGCACGCACAGAGCGGGTAGAAGGCACAGCTCACAGCTCACAAGCTGCAGTCATCACCACTTGCTGGAACATAAGCTCTAGGGCAGCGGACTTGGCTAAGCGCAGTGTCTCCAGCACCCAGAGCGGCTCCTGGTGCACGCAGCTGCTCGGTAAATGTATGTGACAAATGCCTGGCCCTGCCTCGGTCCTGCTCATAGAGCTTCTGGGCTGTCCTTGGTCTACAGAATAAACACCACCTCAGCTCAGCGTTCAGGGCTTTCCTGGACCTCCCGCACCTGCCCTTCTAGGATCACGCGTGTACCCCAGCGTACATCTGTCCCTCTGGACGCTAAGCCTCAGGGCTGCCACCCCTCTTGCTTAGTTTATTTATAATTGACAAATCATAATTGCATATATTTATGGGGTCCAGCATGATGTGTTGATAACCCCGTTTTACAAAGCTTCCCCTCCTTATATATGTGTGTGTGTATATATGTATTATACGTATATGTATATAATACAATATAAATGTTATGTATGTATATAACAATATATACATATAAAATATATGTATATATGTATATATATTTTATACACACACACACACACACACACATATATATATGTATTTTTTTTTTTTTAGACAGAGTCTCACTCTGTCACCCAGGCTGGAGTGCAGTGGTGCAATCTCGGCTCACCGCAACCTCAGCCTCTGGGTTCAAGCGATTCTCCTGCCTCAGCCTCCCAAGTACCTGGGATTACAGGCAGCTGCCACCTTGCCTGGCTAATTTTTTATCTTTATTTTTAGTAGAGACAGCGTTTTACCATGTTGGTCAGGCTGGTCTCAAACTCCTGACTTCAAGTGAGCCGCCCGCCTCAGCCTCCCAAAGTTCTGGGATCCCAAAGGGCTAGGCACTACGGCCGGCCTTCCTCCTCCGATATTTGGCTTGTGCCATTCCTTCTGTCCACACACCGTCCCATCTCGTCACCTCAACCCCTTTCCAGGAAGGCTTCTCTGAAAAGCCCCTCCCCTGCTTCGTCGCCGTGCCCTTCTCTGACCGGCCGTCAGTGCTGGGGTCCCCCTCCACACTGGAGCGCTGCCAGGGCGGGGCAGGGCTGAGTCACCCCTGCGTGGATGCTGAGTCCTCACAGTAATTGTTTATTCGGTTGCTTCCCGGTGCAGGCCTCGGTGCTGAGCCCACAGCCCAGAGCCAGGGCCCTGACCTGCCCCCAGGCCCCACACACCACCTGCTCCCTCATACCCCCACTCCTTCCTTCTCAAAACACTGAAAACTGGTATTTCAGCTTCTNAAAAAAAAAAAAAAGAATAAAAATAAATAAATAAGATATAAAAGCCCCTCAAGGAAGCTGCACTCTGGGTACCTCTGTCACCTGCAAAGTGGGCTCACAGAAGGTGCTGGGGCCAGGAGCCTCCCCGCCCCCTCCTTGCTGGGGGTTGGGAGAGGTGGTGTTTTGTGTGTAAGTGGAGGGGTCCAGACTAGCATGCTCACCGACCGCACTGCTGAGGCTCCCCAGCTCTGAAGTGTCTGTCTGCAGGGAGGGAGAAGAGTGGGAGGGCGGGGGTGGGGGTGGGATCGCCAGTCCCTGCGGCCCTTCCTCCCTCCCCCTGCAGATTTGCAAACTTCAGGACTTAGGCAAATGACTTCCTTGTGGTTTCCAGCACTACCGAGCCTGCAGATGCACAGACTCCCGGGGTGGGGAGAACACAGGTCTCTGGGGTGTCCCTTCTACCCACAGGCCCCGCCCACCCTGCCACCCAGCTTGTGGCCAAGAACCCGCCCCAGCCTCTTCTGCAGGCAAGGATGACTTGATGTCTGTGATCTCACTAAAGCCTCACAAACAACGCTGGGAGATGGGTTCTACGGTAGCCTCACTTACGGTGAGGAAACCGAGGCACAGACAGGCAAAGAGGCTGGGCCAGCATCGCACATCTATGAAGGGGCAGGGCTAGGCTTCAAAGCCTCTTCAGCCTCACCCCAGCAGCTGTGCTAGGACATCTGCACCTCCTCCTCAAGTCACGGCAAGCGGCAAGCGTGAGGCAGGAAGGAACAGCTGGCTCCCCTCTGCTCACCTCATGACTTCTGGAGCCCTGAAAGTCCCCCAACCACTACTAGTGATCTGAGCAAACTGCCTCTGGGGACCCCAGGAGCCTGGAGGCAAAGCTGAAATAACTGCTGCCAGCTGACCCAAACTTCCAGACAGGTGCCGACACCGGGATTCCGGAGCCTGCAGAACTTGTGACGCTCTTGTACAGATGGGGAAACTGAGGCCTGGAGAGGCGCAGGTACCCAGTGCTAGCTCCACCACCTAACTGTGTGACCTCGGGCAAGTGGTTTAATGTGTAGGTGCCTCCGTTTCCTCCTGTATAAAATGGGGATGACAACAGTCCTTCCCTTATGAAGTTGTTTTGGGGCAAGAAATGAGACAATAGATGACAAATGCTGAGAATAGTGTCTGGCACATAGTAAGTGCTAAGTGAACATTACCTTTTGTTATCACTACTACCAAGGCTCAGAGGACCCTGGGGAGCCCAGCAATACCCCTCCCCAACTTTCCCTATCACACCCAACACACATCCACCCTCTGAGGGCTGACACACCACATCAAGCCCACAGCCTTACCCATCACCCCACACAGACTCGCCGCGGCCAGGGCACCCCAAGGTCTCAGCTAACCAAATAACCGGTGGGGAAGGCTGGGGCTCCTTCCTCCCAGTCAGTTTCTCCTCTGCTGGACCAGTGAAGACCTGACATCCGCATGGAGACAGACCTTGCCTGGAGTCCCACAGGAGCAGAATTTATGCAATCCCATGGGCAGGTCAAGGGCTGGGAATCAGGATTCCGAAGCAGAGGCTACAGCAGCACAGAAGAGGCAGGAGGACCACGGATCTGCCTGCCTCAGCCCACCCCAGCCCACCCCACAGTCAGAGGAAGACCAGGCTGCCCGGCTCCCCTGCAGCAAAGCACAGCCTCCCTGCCAAGTCACTAATGGGGGATATTAAATAATATTTATCTCCACAGTTCCTCCCACAGCTCAACTAAATATAGCAACTAATTTTTTTGAAAAAGGATTTCTGCTCCAGAAAGATAATATTTATATAAGAGGTGGGTTTCATAAACCAATACAAAACCCAAAAGTCCTTTTCTGACAGCTCTTCCTAATTTCAGAGCTAGCCTAAGTCGTAGGATCCCAGAGCTGGAATGCCTTCCCCTCTGGCTGGCTGGGAATCCCAAAAGGGCAAGAATCCAAGTCCCCAAAGGATGCAGACCCCGGCTGCACTCCAGAGATGGTGGGGACGTTTCTCCCCGGACTCCTCACGCTCTGCCCCGTGCTGAGGGCACAAGCAAGGGGGTGGCAGGTCCTGCCTGAAGGGACGTGGGGAGGGCATCTCTATCTTCTACCCTCATGGGACCTCCAAGGTGCCAGGCCACACCAGGACAGTACCCAGTGGCACTCAATGTGCCTTTTGGCAGAAAAGATCCCCACTCTTTTGAAGGAGGTGAGGAAGAAATGATACCCCTCCACCCGAACAGCAAGGGCCTGAAGGCTCCCTCCCTGCTCAGAGATGGGAAAGGCATCCCTGGCAGCTCCCCGAGGCCTTGATTCCGCCACCTCAGGAAGGTGGGACTCCCGCCTCAGCAGTTCAAAGCCCCCACCGACTCCGCCAGCCACATCCGCTTCGGGTGCAGAAAGAGGAAGACCTGGGGTGGGGGTGGGGGTGGGGGTGGGGGGTGGGGGCCCCAAGGCTGCTGAGGAGAGGCACCTTCTCGGGCGTTTTCTGGAGCTCTCGGGGGAGACCCTGGGGCCAGCTAGGAGGCTGAGCCTGAGTCTGCGGCCGGGTCAGCGCTGCACCTGCAGGATGCCGGCTGGGGCAGCGCGGCGCCGCGCGGGGGTGGAGTACGATCCAGGACGGGGTGGAAAACGCTTGCAGGGTGGACGGGGCCGGGGTGCAGGTGGGATGTCCGGGAGGTGCCAGGCGCAGGGGGTACCGAGCGTCGGGTCTCCCAAGCCCGAACCCGCCCCCAGCCCCCGCCCGCGAAGGTGGCCGCGCAGCCCCGGGTGCCCCGAGAGCATCCGAAGAGGCTTCCGGAGCCCTCGCTTCCTGCCCGCCCGCCCGCGGGGGCCGAGAGCCGGGTGCAGAGAGGACCGCTCCGCCGCCGGGGACGAGGGGGGGTGGGAAACAGCCTTCAGCGCGCGCGGCCCCACTCCCCTGCCGGGCCCGCGCGCTCACCGTTGGGGCCGTAGCGCTCCCGCGCCTTGGTCACCTGCTCCGGGCTCAGGCCGCCCTCGGCTGTCACCGAGAAGTGGCGCAGCACGTCGGCGGCCGGGAGCAGGTGCGCTGCCTCCATGCCGCCCGCCCGGCCGTCTGCGCCGTCCGCACCGTCGAGGCCGCCTCTCCGCGGGGCTACAGCACGGAGCGCGGGGGGCTTGGGCGCAGGCGGGCGCCGCGCAAGGCCATGTCTGCGCTGGGACCTTCCCCGACGGCAGTGGCGGCGGCCCCGGCTCGCACCAGTATGCTGCGCCCGGGGCTCCCTCCCCGGGGCGGGGCGGCGCGGGGCCCGCCCCCATCACACCCCTTCCGGCTGCCCTCCCAGCCCGCAGCGCCCTGGGGCGCACCGCCGGGGTCGCCAGCCAGTGCGGCAGAGGGGAAACTGAGGCCGCCGGCGGGGCGCGCGGCCCGAGGCGGGGGGTCCTGGTTCGGGTCCGCAGAGCTGCTGGGGGTAGGATCTGGCCGAGAGCCTGAGCGGGCTGCGAGTCGACTCCTCGGAGCTCTCCCCGGCCGGGGCGTCCCGCTTCCCAGCTAGACTTCTGCGAAGTGGATCCAGAGGGAGCCCAAAAGCCTGTGAGGAAGCGGGGCTCCTCTAGAGGAGAGTGCTGTGTGTTTTCCTTATTTGGCGTTTCTTTATTCTTTCTTCTTTTCCAATGCCCACCCAGGAGGGGTTCTTCCCCAGAGCCTCTAACAAGGAACTGGCGCAGAAGAAAGTTCAGAAAACCCGGCTGGTTACCCTAGGCTCACACCGTCACCCCAGCAGGAAATGTGACCAGGGAGTAGGGGTGGGGCTCCCCAGAGGGGCCCGAGGTGTGTGGTGGGGGGCTTTGCCCAGGGCTCCCAGAGGAGTGACCCCGGCCCAGGGAGGGCGAGGGATGGAGGAGCCCGCACTCCAGCGCTCCGCGGCTCCAGCCGCTCCGGGAGTGCCGGGAGAAGCGGCTTCGGGGCAGAGGAGGAAGTCGCAGGAAGGCAGAAACCACGCGCCAGGCCAAAAGGAGGAGCCAAGAGAACAACCTGATCGCCGCTCCCTCCAGCTTAAGAGACTCAGACAGCCTCCCCCCGGCCTCCACCTGCCTCCTCCGCGAACTGGGCTCTGCGTCTAGAGCCTCAGCCTCTGCCACCCACCAGGGCTGCACCGGGTCTTGGATGCCAGGATTGAGCCCGCACAGCTGGCTGTTCAAACCCCAAACCCTTCGTGCTCCGCAGCCAGGAGCTTTCCCAGATAGCTGCAGCTGCGCCCCGCCCCTACAACACAGGCCGCCCCACTCCTGAGAGCCTCAGCTTCCAGCCTTGCCTGGAGCCGCTGACCCCCACCCAGATCATGCACACCCCAGCTTCTGTGCCCTTCCTCCCGGGACCGGACCGGACCGGGATCTTCCTCCTCTCCGCCTCTCAGAGCCTCCCTGAGCAAAGACCCTGAGGACTGGCTGGACGAAAGGTTCTTCGGGCTTTTAATGGGTGGTCCAGGTGGATACCCAGTATCAGCTGCGCCCCACCCTGCTGCTGTGGAGCTAGAGGAATGCTGCTTTTCTGGCCGCGGCTCCTCCCAGCCTGTTATTTTATGTCTTGTTTTCGTTATTTTTTTTTTTTTCTATTTTTCAACAGAGTCTCGCTCTGTCGCCAGGCTGGAGTGCAGTGTTGACACCTCGGCTCACTGCAACCTACACCTCCCCAGTCTAAGTGATTCTCCTGCCCCAGCCTCCTGAGAAGCTGGGATTACAGGTACCTGCCATCATGCCTGGCTAATTTTTGTATTTTTTTTAAGAGAAAGGGTTTTGCCACGTTGGGAAGGCTTGTCTCAAACTCCCCACCTCAAGCGATCCGCCCACCTCAGCCTCTCAAAGTGCTGGGATTACAGGCATGAGCCACCACACCCAGCCCCATTATTATTTTTTTGAGATAGGGTCTGGCTCTGTCACCCAGGCTGGAGTACAGTGGCATGATCAGGCCTCACTGCAACCTCCGCCTCCCGGACTCAGGCGATCCTCCCACCTCAGCCTCTGGAGTAGCTGGGATTATCGGCGTGAGCCACTATGCCCAGCTAACATTATTATTTTGGTAGAGACACGGTTTCACCATGTTCCCAGGCTGGTCTCAAACTCCTGGACTCAAGCAATCCACCTGCTCTGGCCTCCCAAAGTGCTGGGATTACAGGGGTAAGCCACCGCGCCATGCTCAGCCTGGCATTTTAGATCTCAAGTTCGATATTCCCAGGTATTTCCACCCGATCCCTTTCTCCCCCACTGCTGTAGTCCACACAATCCCAACTGTATCCCTAAGTTGCCAGGAAAAATGTCAGCCAGGACGTGACTGGACAGAGCCTCGAAGCTCCCCGCTAGACCCCTTTCCCAGTCACGCGAAGCCCTAGGCCTGCGAGCAGCTGGGAAACCCCAGCTCAGCCCTACACGCATCTCGGGGTCTGACTCCTCCTCTGCCAGCCCTGGGGACCTTAGCCCCAGCCTCTCCCACTCCACCACACCCTCAGCTGTGAGTTGGTATTTGCTAGAAGGCAGGGTCAGAGGCCTGAGTGTTTGCTCCGGCAGCTAAGCCGATGTTCCCTTTCTCCAGGTCACCCCACCCTACCTCAAACCACCATGGCAGGACAAACAGCTGCCAGCAACTGGGGCCCTCGCCTGGCAGCTCACACACCTGTCAGCATGCCCACCTGCTCGGCTGGCCCCGTCACAACCTCTGGGCACCCCTCCACGCTCCCACAGCCTGCTACCTGCCCAGTGTCGTGGGGCCCTCCTCATTATGCTCTGCTTTTGCGCCTGGACAAACAGCTGGTGGCCAGGGTGACGTGGTCACAGGCAGGCTGTCCAAAGGGCAGGCCTGCCTTTCCCACCTCCCAGCTGCCAGGAACCGGGAGATCCACGCCTGGCACCTAGACACGGCTCTTTCCACCTCCTTTACTGGACAGATGGTGGCAGAACACACCACCTACCTGGCAGAGGCCTATCTACCCGCCTTGCCTGAGGGCACCGGGTGGGTGTGAGGAAAGAGAGATCTTCCCTGGAATGACTTATTTATTTTTACTTTGAGACGGAGTTTTGCTCTATCGCCCAGGCTAGAGTGCAGTGGCATGATCTTGGCTCACCGCAACCTCCGCCTCCCAGGTTCAAGCGATTATCCTGCCTCAGCCTCCTGAGTAGCTGAGATTACAGGCACCTGCCACCACACCTAGCTAATTTTTGGATTTTTAGTAGAGATGGGTTTCACCATGTTTGCCAGACTGGTCTCGAAATCCTGACCCAGGTGATCCGCCTGCCTTGGCCTCCCAAAGTGCTGGGATTACAGGCGTGAGCCCTCGCGCCTGGCTTTTCTGGAATGATTTAGACACATGGAGAAGAGGGTGTTGCAGGCAGAAAAAACCAGCCTGAGTTGAAGGTGAGAAATCTCAGCCATATGTTGGGGATGGTGATTCAATCCTTTAGAGTGGCTGGATCATAAGGAGCAGGAGTGCACAGACCAGAAGGGTAGATTAGAGAGACAGGGCTAGGACACTGAGAACCTCAATTGTCTGTGTAATGTCCCGGGTTTTGTACTGAAGGCCTTTTAAGCAATGGAGAGATGCGGCCAGGTCTGCCTGCTACAAAAGCCCCCCATAGAAGCTGGCATGGAGAAGAAATTACAGGGGAGAGCCGTGGCTGAAAGGACCGTGGAGTGGGGGCCAGGGACGTGCACCTGATTTCCCTCAGGCCTCCCCAGGGGAGGAGCCTCCAAGCTGTGGAGGGAATATCTGTGATTATTTGTTTCACACATTACCCCCAATTAATCCTCACAATAGCCCTGGAGGAGTATTTTCTTACCCCCATTCAGAGCTGGCTTCATGGGCGTGCAATCTGCGTAGGTCACCCGTTGCCAGAAGGACCCGCTGCTTGATTTTTGTTGTTTTCTTAGAGATGGGTCTCACGGTGTTGCCCAGGCTGGATTCCAGCTCCTGGACTCAAATGCTCCTCTTGGCCCCGCCTCCTGAGTGGGCAGGACCACTGGAATGCACCACCACACCCGGCCTTCCATCCTCCATCCGCTTGGGTTAACACTCTGCAACTGCCATCTTGAAATTCTTCTTTTTTTGAGACAGAGTCTTGCTCTGTCACCCAGGCTGGAGTGCAGAGGTGTGATCTCAGCTCTCTGCAACCTCTGCCTCCCGGATTCAAGAAATTCTCCTGCCTCAGCCTCCCTAGTAACTGGGGGTTGCAGGTACCCGCCACCACACCCAGCTACTTTTTTGTATTTTAGTAGCGACAGGGTTTCACTGTGTTACCCAGGCTGCTTTCGAACTCCTGAGCTCAGGCAATCCACCCACCTCAGCCTCCCAAAGGGCTGGGATTACAGGCGTGAGCCACCGCACCCAGCCTTGAAATTCTTAATACAGTAATTTTCTGTTTGAACTTGTGCTTTGTAAGTGAAGCCTGATGGGAAGCGGAGCATGCAGTGAGCCCAGGAGGCCCACCTAGTCTGCCATCTCTTTCACTCGCTTGCTCCCTGTGCTCCGTGAGCACGGAACTCTGGTGGACTCGCGATGCGTGGGAGTTCAGTGGACTTGAATCAAGTCTAGGGGGAATGTGGTACTTCTGCAGCTGAGGAAGCGGGGGTGCGGACAGCTGAGAAGGCCTACTTTCCATTTGACCCCGAATTTGCTTCATGCAGAAAGAAGACAGTAGTGTCGGCCAGGCGCAGTAGCTCACACCTGTAATCCTAAGACTTTGGGAAGCAGAGGCGGGCGGATCGTGAAGTCAGGAGTTCGAGACCAACCTGACCAACATGGAGAAACCCCGTGTCTACTAAAACTATAAACACTGGCCGGGTGTGGTGGCACGTGCCTGTAGTCCCAGCTACTCAGGAGGCTGAGGCAGGAGATCACTTGAACCCAGGAGGCGGAGGTTGTGGTGGGCTGAGATCATGCCGTTGCACTCCAGCCTGGGCAACAAGAGCAAACGAAACTCTGTCTCAAAAAAAGGAGGAAGAAGAAGAAGTAGAAGAAGAAGGAGAAGGAGAAGGAGAAGGAAGAAGAAGAAGAAGAAGAAAGAAAGAAAGAAAGAGGAAGGAAGAAGAGGAGGAGGAAGAAGAAGAGGAGGAGGAGGAAGAAGGAAGAAGAAGAAGAACAAGAGGAGGAGGAGGAGGAGGAGGAAGAAAAGGAGAAGAAGAAGAAGAAGACAGTCGTGTCCTCAGAAACACGAACGTCCGGGATCCCTTTCATATCATTTCTTACTCACATTGCTTCCTTGTATTAAACACCACTCACGTT